GTTTTCTGTGTCTCCACAGACATCCCGATGTTCCTTACTCTCTCCATTGGTGCAGTATTTGCATGACCCCACCAATGACGGACCTGGACCAAACTTGGCACACAGAACCCCCATGACTAACTCAACCTACTGGAGAGGTTGGAGGGGACTGATTCACCATAGTGGGAGTTGTAGTTTACCCTACAGCCAGAGAGCACACTGAATCCCACCAATGATGCATCGAGAGCAAAGTTGCCCAGCTTGAAGTACTGATGAGATTTCCTGGGGTTAACCTGGCATGATGGGAGTTGTAGTTCACCCACAACCTTATCTCTATTACAAAGAGACTCAAAGCTGCTAACAATAAAAAAACATAAATACTCGAGACGGTTGATTCTGACTTTGGTGTTAAATGATATAGTGATACTTTGGTATATTATTTACACTATGTAGAACAAGTATAGGGTCTGGGATATATGCTTTTTGAAATCCTTGATAGCACTAAGACCTGAAGCCTTGGTTTCCAAATGCTAATGCGTTCTCACACTGAGATATCCGATATCTCCCTTGGACAACTGAAAGGGCTTACACAGCTTTGCTGGAGGGCGAGCTTGTAATCTGCGGCGGGCCAGCGCTCCCCCTTGGTTCACTCAAACGATATGCAAAGCGGGAGCCTTGCATTTAATTAAATATGCAAATGGGCCAGCATCCCTTCACGATGAGAGGCGATTGTGTATGGGTATATCAGGTATATCCCATATCAATTGTGGGATCTCTAGGATTTATGTCAGAAGACCAAAATGGGGGGAATATACCACCAAAGTCGGTGGTATATACCATAATCGGAGAGTAAGCAATACTGTAACCTGAGAGTAAGTGAATTAACTTCCTGCTTTACATTCTGTAGAGCTGCCTTACATAACATAATCTCATATCAAGGCTTTCGGCTGGGGGCGATTTCTATGTTTTTCTCCCTGCCGTCACCAAAATGAACAATATCCTTTAAAACCCCTATTTATATGCAATCGCAATTTCAATACATATATGCCTAGCTAGCTATTAGCGCCCATGAGTGCCTTTATTTCAGTTTATATCCTTAATAACACTCCAAAATTGGGGAGTGCAGCAGGAGTTCTGGAAAAAAAGGCTGGCAAAAATTAGGATGCCCAAATCGGTACGTTCCAGCAAACAGAGGCAAACGTTGCCTCCCAAGTGTGTCCAGCGAAATGAGAAAACAAAGCAAACATCAATAGCTTATTAAGGATTTTGTTCCAATATATAAAATAGTTCATAAGCTTCAAGGGGAAACAAGATCCACAGGTACATACAAATCCATAAACCTAAGTATGTGAATCAATGAATCAAGACAGCAGGAAAAATCCCAGCTTGACAAAAACTTGATACATGAAACAAAGAGCACTTGAAAACAAGACCATGATGAAATTCCAACATTGACCCGACTGAGGCAACGCTTTCCCACAAATCAATATAAGGCTTTTTCCAGACCCCACAACTGAAAGGAAAGCATTTCTCTTGACCTTCCCACCAGATAAAGTTTTGTTATCTCTCTTTTCCTGTAAACGAACCGATCGTCTTAGCCTCTGTTTACAAAAGGCTTTCTATCTAAGCAAAATGAGAAAACGAAACAAACATCAATAGCTTATTAAGGATTTTGTTCCAATATATAAAATAGTCCATAAGCTTCAAGGGGAAACAAGATGCATAGTTACATAAAAATCAATGAACCCAGGTACATGAATCCATGAATCAAGACAGCAGCAAAAATCCCAACCACAAATCTGCAGCTTGGCAAAAACTTGGTACATGAAACAAAGAGCACTTGAAAGCAAGACTGTGATGAAATTCCAACATTGACACGACTGAGGCACCAAAGACAGATTATAATATGATTAATGAGATCTTTGATAAGAGGAGGACACCTCAACCCAGTTGGAAATCATTAAATATGTGGGGTTATTTATAACGTTTAGTTGGAACCTCTTTCCTTGGAATTTGGGTCTTGGTCCAGGCACAGTCCTCTGGAGGAGGAGACAACCTGGCTCCAAGGAGCCATGAATGTAGAAAAAGAGATGCCCAAGAATTGACTTGAGGTACTTCAAACATCTGAAGAGTCCTCCAGGTGTTTGTAGAAGATGGGGAGATATTGTCTTCTTGTCAGTTTTCTCCATCTTCTACAAGAAGACAACACATCTTTGTCTTAAACAAGAAGGCAACCTAGCTCCATCCTTAACAAGAAAATGATCTTGTTCCAACCTCTACAAGAAGACAACTTTGCTCCATCTTCTACAAGAAGACAACCTCGCTTTATCTTCAGGCAATGTGGCTCCATCTTCTACAAAAAGATGATGTTGTTCCAACTTCTACAAGAAGAGAACTTTGCTCCACCCTTTACAAGAAGTCAATCTCACTGTATCTTCTACAAGAAGACAATTATCTCCACCTTCTACAAGAAGACAGCCTCACTTTATCTTCAGGCAATCTGGCTCCATCTTCTACAAGAATATGATCTTGTTCCAGCCTCTACAAGAAGACAACTTTGCTCCACCTTCTACTAAAAGACAGTCTGGCTATATCCTCAACAAGATGACAAGATTTGTCCATCTTCTACAAACACCTGGAAGGCTCTTCAGATGTTTGAAAGACCTCAAGTCAACTCTCGAGCATCTGCTTCCCTACATTCATGGCTCTTTGGGGTTTTTCCAATTACTCTTGTTATTGTTCAGTGGCTTCAACTCAATCCTGACCTTTAGTCCGAGAACTCTTCTAGGGTTTTCTGTGCCAGATTGATTCAGAGGTTTGCCACGGCCTTCCTTTGAGACTGAGAGAATGTGACTTGCTCAGGATCATCCATGACTGAGTGGAGGTGTGAACCTGACTCTTGTCAAACGTTTAAACCATTATTTTTCTGTATCCTTTCATATATATATCCTTTCATATATATATATATATATATATATATATATATATATATATATATATATAGGACACAAGGCACCTAACAACCCAATGTATGTCCTTCACTCAAAAAAATTGATTTTGTCATTTGGGAGTTGTAGTTGCTGGGATTTATAGTTCACCTACAATCAAAAAGCATTCTGAACCCCACCAACGATGGAATTGAACCAAACTTGGCACACAGTTCCCATGACCAACAGAAAATACTGGAAGGGTTTGGTGGGCAGTGTCCTTTGGTTTTGGAGTTGTAGTTCACCTACATCCAGAGATCACTGTGGACTCAAACAATGATGGATCTGGACTAAACTCTACACGAATACTCAATATGCCCAAATGTGAACACTGGTGGAGTTTGGAGAAAATAAAATCTTGACATTTGGGAGTTGTAGTTGCAGGGGACGGCCACGCATAGTGTGCATTTGGGGCATACCTTCATCCGTTTAGTCACCCAGCTTTCACTGGGGGCCTCGATCCGTTTTGACTCACCCCCCCAAAATCAGGAGGTCAAAGTTTCATTTTTTGTTTTTGGGGTTGAAAGATCCAATTTCTTTCGGACTATTATTTGGAGGGGTGACTTCATCCATAGGCCCAAAGCACCCGGGGCTATGCGCCCGGGCTTGGCAGGGCCTGCATCTGAGTGCTGAGTAAGTAGCGTTCCTTACTCGGTGCTCGGCTGCAGGCCCTGCTAGGTCCCGGAGCTTTGGGCCTACACTCACGGCAATCGATCCGAAAAGCAGGCTTAGAGCTGGTACCCGCTCCTACCTGCCTTTCGTTTTGAGTCTATTTTTTAAAAAAAATCTTTATTAAGAATTTCCATTAAAAACAAATGAATAAAAAAGAAGAGAAGAATATGAGGGGGGGGGGGGAGAAAAAAAGAAGATAAAAAAAAGAAAACAATAGAAAAATAGAGTAAATAGTTGTTTGTTATTTTCGGAGTGGGTGCTTCCTTTTCTTTCTTCTGCTTCTTTTTCTTTTCTATTCTTTCTTTTCTTGTTTTGAGTCTATTTTCGTTCCAGGAGGGGCCTAATAATAATAATAATAATAATAATAACAACAACAACAACAACAACAATAACTTTATTTGTACCCTGCTACCATCTCCCCAAGGGACTCGGTGTGGCTTCCATGAGGCCAAGCCCACAATACATCAATAAACAAAAGCAATAACAGTAATCAATACAAAACAGTGAAAATAAACTCAAAAACAGAAAATACACAATAAGCAATAGACAATAACAATATCAAAACATACAGCATTTAAAAACCTATGGCCGGGCCAAATGTAATAATTCAAATTTAAAATCAAAAAGTGCAGGGCATGAACAAGGTAAGGCAAATTAGAATAGGGTTTTCAGAGAAAGATGAGGGCGCGCAGACTATCCTAAGTCAGTATTAAAGTGCATTTGAGGACATATTACTAAGAGTTCTCCTTATTCTGGGAAGGCACACTGGAACAACCACGTTTTCAGGCTCTTCCTAAAGACTGCCAGCATTGGGGCATGTCTGATGTCCTTAGGGAGTGAGTTCCAGAGTTGGGGGCCAACACCGAGAAGGCCCTCTCCCTCGTCCCCACCAATTGCGCCTGCGAAGGAGGTGGAAGCGCGAGCAGGGCCTCTCCAGATGATCGAAGAGAACATGTGGGTTCGTACACAGAAATGCGGCCATGCAGGTAGGCGAGTCCCAAACCGTTCAGGGCTTTGTAGGTAAGAACCTGCACCTTGAATTGGGACCGGAAAATGAACGACAGCCAGTGGAGCCCCTTAAACAGAAGGGTTGACCGCTCCCTGCAAGAAGCACCGGTTAGTAACCTGGCTGTTGTACCAATTGAAATTTCCGGGCCGCTTTCAAGGGCAGCCCCACGTAGAGTGCATTACAGTAATCCAATCTGGAGGTGACCATTTTGTTCCGAATGGACGGAACGAAACGCAAACACAAATCAAACGGATGGGACAAATTTCGGGTCCATGATTAATATATATTACTTTCGGTCACTTCACTATTTAGGTGTCGGTGTGTTGAGAAACACTTCCATGCCCCCGCTATTATGATTTTCCACTTTCCGCCACAGCTTTGGCGTGCAATCCCGGGCTTGTGGTTTCTTTGGATCGCCTCATTTCCCTCGATCCTCCCTTGGAAAGGCATTGGCCTGCCAGGCAGACTTGCTCCGCCTGCGTCACTTGGTACCCCACTGGGGACCGGCGAAGAGGGGGAGAGGGCTTCATAAAAGGCGATGCTCCAAGGCTCCTTTGGTAACTGGAGAGAAGAAGGAACAGTTGCTGCTCTGCCTCTCAGCTTCCTCTCAAACAGGCGAGACTTGGCTCCACCATGCAGCTGATGGGACGGCTCCTTGCGGTTCTGCTCCTGGTTTGGACCGTGAGGGCATCCGCTTTGCCTGGAGAAGACAAGCTTTCAGCACAGAGCAGCCGGGTAAGTCCCAAAAGGCTGTCAGGGTTCAGGAATATGGGACTTATTTCTCATGACCTTTGCACACAGAACCTGTCCGGGCAATTGATTCAGGGGTCAGCTACTCATTTGTCACTTTGCGAATCCCTTTGAATGGGTTTTAATGGGGAAGGAATGCAAAGCGCTTAGATCCCAGCACAAAGGAGGGTTTCCCCCTCTTTAAAAATATATTAAACTGATGGCTTTAAAGGAATTGACAAAAGGGGAATTGATGGAGAGGTTTAGAATACAGGATGAAAGAAGGAGAGAATTAGGGGAGAGAAGAGAGTTAAAGAGAGAAGATGTGGAGAGGAAAGAAAGAGAGCAGGGGGGGGAAGGAAAGAAGAAAGGGAGGGAAGGAAGGAAGGAAAGAGAGAACGAGAGAGAGGATAACAAATGGAAGGACAGAGGGAGAGAAGGAAGAAAAAAGGAAGGAAAGAAGGAAGGAAGAAGATAAATAGGGACATGAGAAAAGGATGGAATGGAGAGAGAGAGAGAGAGAATGAAGAAAGGAAAGAAAGAGAGTGACTGAAGAGAGAGGGGAAATAAGGAAAGAAGAAAGGGGGAGAGAGAGGCAAGAAGGTAGGAAAGAGAGAACGAGAGAGAGGATAAGAAATGGAAGGACAGAGGGAGAGAAGGAAGAAAAAAAGGAAGGAAAGAAGGAGGAAGATAAATAGGGACATGAAAAAAGGATGGAATGGAGAGAGAGAGAGAGAGAGAGAGAGAATGAAGAAAGGAAAGAAAGAGAGTGACTGAAGAGAGAGGGGAAATAAGGAAAGAAGAAAGGGGGGAGAGAGGGAAGAAGGTAGGAAAGAGAGAACGAGAGAGAAGATAAGAAATGGAAGGACAGAGGGAGAGAAGGAAGAAAAAAGGAAGGAAAGAAGGAAGGAAGAAGATAGAAGGGACATGAGAAAAGGATGGAATGGAGAGAGAGAGAGAGAGAATGAAGAAAGGAAAGAAAGAGAGTGACTGAAGAGAGAGGGGAAATAAGGAAAGAAGAAAGGGGGGAGAGAGGGGAGAGAGGGGGGAAGGGATTAAGGTAGGAAAGAGAGAGAGGATAAGAAATGAAGGACAGAGGTAGAGGAGGAAGAAACAAAAGAAGGAAATAAGGAAAAAAGGGAGGAAGAAGAAGATAAAGAGGGACATAAGAAATGGATGGAGTGGAGAGAGAGAGAATGAAGAAAGGAAACAAAGAGTGAGTGAAGAGAGAGGGGAAAATAAGGTAATGAGGAAGGAAGGAAAGAAGGAAGGAAGAAGTTAAAGAGGGACGTAAGAAAAGGATGGAATGGAGAGAGAGAAATGGAAGAGAAGAAAGAAGGAAGGAAGGGAGAGAGAGAGGAAAGGGAGAAGGAAGGAGGAAAGAGGGGAGGAAAGGAATGAAGGACAGAGGGAGAGAAGGAAGAAACAAAAGGAAGGAAGGAAGAAAAGAAAGAGTGAGTGACATAAGCAAAGGATAGAGTGGAGAGAGAGAATGAAGAAAGGAAAGAAAGAGAGTGAGTGAAGAGAGAGGGGGAAATAAGGTAAGGAGGAAGGAAGGAAGGAGATAAAGAGGGACATAAGAAAAGGATGGAACAGAGAGAGAATGAGAATGAAGAAATGAAAGAAGGAGAGGGAGTGAAGAGAGAGGGGAAAATAAGGTAAGGAGGAAGGAAGGAAAGAAAGAAGGAAGGAAGGAAGAAGATAAAGAGGGACATAAGAAAAGGATGGAACGGAGAGAGAGAGAGAATCAAGAAAGGAAAGAAGGAGAGTGAGTGAAGAGGGGGAGAAATAAGGTAAGGAAGAAGGAAGGAAAAAAGAAGGAAGGGAAGGAGAGAGAGGGGAAAGGAATGAAGGTAGGAAAGAAAGAGAGAAAGAAAAAAGAGAGACAAGAGGGAGAATAAAGTGAGGAGGGAATGAAATGATGGAGGGAACATATGGAACATCGTATTTTATGTGCGCAGCACTTTGGAGTGTTGTTGTGAGCTGCCCCGAGTCCCATTGGGGAGATGGTGGCGGTATATAAATAAAATTGTTGTTGTTGTTGTTGTTGTTGTTGTTATGATCATCCTCCATTTGTCTCAAGGGCTTGAATGGATTTTCTTTCTCCTTCCGTCGCTCTTTCTTGCCGGGCTAAGACTTTCACCAAGGATGCCACTGTACTTTTTCTCATTCCTTGCCTTCTTTTCACATCCCTGTCCAATTCTTCTTCTCTCGTCCCCTGTTTGTTTGTGTCGCCTTCCTAGGAGCAAACCAAAGCCCGCAAAGTCCTGATCCTGAAAATGCTGGCAGAGCTCTTGGACGGGGCCGAAGTGGGTCGGGAGCCGACTCCTTCCGAATCGGAAGATCCGCTGGAGAGCAAACTGGAGGACGAGGCGTCGGTGCTGGGGAGGTTGTCCCAGCTCACCCAGCGGGACCGCAAAGCCCCGTGCAAAAACTTCTTCTGGAAGACCTTCACTGCTTGCTAACACTCCTTTCGCCCTTTGCACCTCCAAAGTCCCCGACGTTCCCTTCCCCGTAATGTCTCAACTTGCCAGACAAACACAAAAATCCATCGCCGGGTCTATCCTTGTCCGTCTAACAGAGGTCTGGTCTTCAGGTCTTGCGGGTTTGCTCTTCTCGGGTCTGGAAAAAGATTGCTCGAAAGGTGAATGACTCTTGTTCCAGTTTTCCCATCTCGAATGCAACCAACGGCTCATCCCTTTGTAAAAGAGCATATCTCTCTGCCCATTTGTGGTTTCGGCTCTGCTTTTTCGTTCGTTTGTTCGTTTTCCAATGATGCAAACCGTCGCATTACGGTGATTCCGTGAACAAATAAAGCAAGGCCTCGGCGTGCCTCTTATCCCAGCCCAAGCGATTCCTTCTTGTTTCCTTCTTCTCTGGGACGTCCTGGTTTTAATCTGGACCAGATACACCTCGATAGCGGGCAGGCTACACAAATGTCACACTATCTAAACAACCATGATGACAACCTATAGAAGTTATTTATTTATTTACTGTATTTGTATACCGTCCCTTTCAGCCCTCAGGTAACTCTAGAACCCTAGGTTTTATAGTTTTGTAGAATTCTCAAAAAATTCCCAAATATAAGACATCCCCTGAAAATAAGACCTAGTAGATCAATGGTTCTCAGCCTTCCCTTATGTTGTGGTAACTCCCAACCATAACATTATTTTCTTTGCTACTTCATTACTGTCATTTTGCTCCCATTATGAATCGTAACGTTAATATCTGATATGCAGGATGTATTTTCATTCACTGGACCAAGTTCGGCACAAATACCCGATATGCCCAAATTTGAATACTGGTGGGGTTGGGAGGAAGGATTTTGAGAGTTGTAGTTGCTGGGATTTATAGTCCACCTACAATCAAAGAGCATTCTGGACTCCACCAACGATGGAATTGAACCAAAATTGGCACACAGAACTCCCACGACCAACAGCCAATATTGGAAGGGTTTGTAGGGCATTTAACTTGAGTTTGGGAGTTGTAGTTCACTTTCATCCAGAGAGCACTGTGGACTCCAACAATGATGGATCTGGACCACATTTGGCATGGATACTCAATATGCTCAAATGTGAACACTGGTGGAGTTTGGAGGAAACAGACCTTGACATTTGGGAGTTGTAGTTGCTGGGATTTAGAGTTCACCTACAATCAAAGAGCATTCTGAACCCCAACAAATGAGAGAATTGGGCCAAAATTCCCACAGAGAACCCACATGCCTTGAAGGGACTTGCTGGTGTGAGTCTCCCGCCAGCTTCGCATGCTCTCTCTCGCCCGCACAGCCTTGCATGCCTGCTCTCCCCTCCCCACTTAGAGTCTCAGAAACAGCCCTCCCCTTAGCTGAGAGGCCAGCCAATCATAGCAGAGGAGGACTTTTGGTGGGAAGATTCGCTGTCTGTTTCCAAAAAGGAAGAGAAGGACAGGGTGAGATCTTCAGCCTTCTCTGCCAAAGGGGTTCCTAAGACCATCAGAAATATATGGTTCCTGGTGGTCTTTGGTGACCCTCTGAAATTCTGTCACAACCCCCCCAGGGGACGCGACCCCCAGGTTGAGAAACGCTGTTTTGGACCATTGAGTCCTGCAAAATTAGGTTTGGCTCCTTTTAAGACTCAAAGTGGGTTCAAGTGAAGAGCTGGGGCCAATCCATAAGGGAAATGGAAGGGCAAAGCGATAGTGCTACTCCTTGTAACAGAAGAGTTGGAAGAGACCCCAGGGCCCTTCCAGTCCATCCCCTTTCTTCCAGGAAAACAACCAAAGCACTCCTGACAGATACCCATCCACCCTCTGCTTAAAACCTCCAAAGGAGGAGACACATTAGGAAGTTCTTTGTAACATAACAACAATACTAATAAAGAGAAGCCCAATGGATGTGAGTTAATCTCAGATGACGATCAAACAGCTACAAGTAAAGGGTGTGTGTGTGTGTGTCACATTTAGCCTATTATTATTATTATTAGTCCCTCTCATGCTTGGCTAAATTCCTCACGATCAGCCAGAGTGGGATCGAAATCTCTGGCCTCCGGTCGCCTCAGGAGAGACAACGTAATCACAGAGCCGGCTCAACGAGGCATCAAAACAGCAGGATGACACAACAGGCAAAGAAGCAGGGGGAAAAGCACAATGTGGCCTTTTGGAAAGGCAGCAGTGGGGGTACGCATGGAAGGAAAAGGGGAGTGTTGGGGTATCAGGAATAGCCGCAACTTCAATTGCTGCCGGCTCTGATGGGACGATGCTGAGCAAGAGAGGAGCCCTGTTGCAATGAGGCTTTCCATCTTATGGTGTTTGGGACCACAGGGCTTTGGGAAAGATAGTGATGGAGAGCAAGGAATGTATGGAAGCGGGGGAATCGCCTGCTTGTTTGCAGATAAGAAGGATGCCGACAGCAAAGAGGCAAACACAGGCCAATTTTCAAGCACACTGGGTTGTTTTCTCTGTTTCGCTCCCAAACTTCTTGAATCAGAGAAGAACAGGAAAAGAGTTGGGAAGACAAACAACCTTGCACGCACAGTGAAATGGTTCTCTTGTTCCGTGTTTCTGTGTTACCTCACTTCCTCTTCTCTCAGTTTTATGGCACCCTCATTTAAGAATTTGCATGGGGTTTGGGAAGCTTTTCTTCATTGCGGACATGGGCTAAGTCATGTTGAAATGGCAGGGAGAAGGTTTGAGGAAAAGAGACAAAAGAGAGTCCCTGAGGTCTGTAAAAGTACGGTTTATGCTCGGTTGGCACTAACCGGATATGGACCCTGCTGGTATTCCAGGAAACAGGGTGATGAACAAAATAATTATCTTGGTTTATATACCCTTTATAATAATATGCATACATCATACAAGCATCACAATGTGCGTCACACTTTTAATCTATATAAATAAAAATGTAATGTTCGTTTGTGGTATTCACAGAACTCAAAAACCACTGGGCAAATTGACACCAAATTTGGACACGACACCTAACAACCCAATGTATGTCCTTCACTCAAAAAATTGATTTTGTCATTTGGGAGTTGTAGTTGCTGGGATTTATAGTTCACCTAAAATCAAAGAGCATTCTAAACTCCACCAATGACCAAATTGGGCCAAACTTAGCTCAAAGGACTCCCATGACCATCAGAAAACACTAGAAGGGTTTAGTTGGCATTGACCTTGAGTTTGGGAGTTGTAGTTCACCTGCATCCAGAGAGCACTGTGGACTCAAACAATGATGGATCTGGACCAAATTTGGCATGAATATTCCATATGTCCAAATATGAACACAGATGGAGTTTGGGGGAAAGAGACCTTGACATTTGGGAGTTGTAGTTATTGGGATTTAAGTTCACCTACAATCAAAGAGCATTCTGAACTCCAATGATGGAATTGGGCTAAACTTCTTACCCAGAACGCCCATGGCCAACAGAAAATACTTAAGGCCATCCAATCCAACTCCCTTCACCAGGGCAAGAAAACGCAAACAAAGCCCTCCTGACAAAGCCATCCAGCCATAGATATAGAGAGATATGATTCACACACAGAGAGAGATATAGTATGATATATTTGAAAGGGGTCCCTAAAGAAGGACAATAATATGTTGCATGTTCCAGAGTAGGCAAACCAGACAATCTCTACTGACAAAGAAACAACAAGAAGTACTGTTTACTCACAAGCATCAAGACATTACATATATTAGAAACCAACACTTTCTCATTACTTTATTTTCGAGATCACCAGACTGGGCCACAGCAACGCGTGGCAGGGGACGGCTAGTAATAATAATAATAAACTTTATTTATACCCTGCCACCATCTCCCCCAACGGGGACTCGGAGCAGCTTACATGAGGCCAAGCCCAAACAACAAATTACAATAAAATAAAATACAAGTTACAACAAAATAACATCACAATAAAGTACAAAACATAAGAATACAACAAGCAATATAAAAAAAACCACGCTAAACTAAACATAATAACAGTGAACAGGCCACATGCACATAAAATGATTTAAAAACTCAGGGTGAGATGAAGGAGCAGAATTATTTAGGAGTGAGAACCCATGGAGAGGCAAGGTGACAGACCGACCTTCATACAAGGGGGGGTTTACTCCTAGGACAAGCACGTTGAGGGGAACAATAGCTTAAGATTATGTGACTACTCTCCAAAAGTACAACGGCAGAACCAGGTCTTAAGATACTTTTTAAAGTTTGTTTGTGGGATTAGCATAACTCAAAAAGCCCTGGACGAATTGACACCAAATTTGGACACAATACACCTATCAGGCCATAAAAACACTGGAAAACACAGCAGAAGGGACTTAAAAAGCCAAAAAGCAAAAAGATGCTACAAGAGGTCTTCAAACAATGGTTAGATGGACATCTTTCAGGAGTGCTTTAGCTGTGTATTCCTTCATGGCAGGGGGTTAGGCAAGATGCCTTAGGCCAGGGGTGTCCAAGCTTTTTGTGAAGAGTTTCAGATTTGGTGAGGTGAAAATGAGTGAGGGCCGACCGTTCAGCCTGACATTCTGCGAACCATTGACATTAAATGCGAATAAACTATTTTATGGTCAACTGTGCTGGCGGGCTGCATATTGCTGATTTTATGACAGAAGCTGTGGGCCGGTGGACATTTGAACATGGGCCGCAATTGGCCCGCGGGCCAGACTTTGGACAAGCCTTGCTTAGAAACCTTAACATATCTAAGATTCAGAGTCTTTTCTTGCTAAGGCCCAGGAAGTGCAGGAACCAAGCTGCTGCATGAGGACCTTCTTCCAGATCTTCAGAGATGGCTATCATATCATCTCTCAGCCTTCCCGTCTCCAGGCTAAACGATGGGGAGGATTTAGTAAGCAGAGCAGTCATGCGGAAACCCCATGGAGAGCAATGTAATTGCCGGGGAGGGATTGAGAAGGGAAGCCTGTGACTCATAGGTCAGCGTCTGCAGGTGATGGATCCAGCAAGGAAGAAAAGAGGTGGATGGGAAGCCATTTGATTTTTTTGGACCACCAAGGTCTCATTGCATGTATAGTATACTATAGTACTCCCTATTATCTGCTAGGGAGCTCTAGTACACACAGCTCTCTTGAACTGCAGCACTAAGTAACTTCATTAAACTGCTATAACAGTCAGAGAACTATAACAGTCATCAAACTAGTACTACTACTAATTATAATAATACATTTTATTTGCTACATACCTCTGCTACTATATTGCAAATACAAGGGTTATCCAGAAAGTAAGGTCACAATGCACAGAGCTCTTGTGGGGAATTTTCACAGGGGAAGTTGGTATTACTGCCCTGTAGCGAGAAGCCAGCGGAAGCGAACGAGCAGTGCCAGTTGTCAGTAGCTCATCAACTGGCATTGTGCTGAAGGTTAGAGATGAGCATCCTCATTCTGTTCCTCTTCAAGTGCAAATTTGCATTGTATGAGGGAGATCCAGAAAGTTTACAAGGCACGTAGTTCTCATGGGGAATTTTCATGGGGGAAGTTGGTATCACTGCCATGTAGCGAGAAGCCGGTGGAAGTGAACGAGCAGTGCCAGTTGTCCGTAGCTCATCAAATGGCATTGTGCTGACTCTTAGATATGAAAATTCCCTGGGAATTTTCACGGAGGAAGTTGGTATTACTGCCATATAGCGAGAAGCCTGTGGAAGTGAAAGAGCAGTGCCAGTTGTCAGTAGCTCATCAACTGGCATTGTGCTGAAGGTTAGAGATGAGCATCCTCATTCTGTTCCTCTTCAAGTGCAAAGTTTGCATTGTATGAGGGACATCCGGAAAGTAAGGTTACAAGGCATGTAGTTCTCATGAGGAATTTTCTCGGGGGAAGTTGGTATCACTGCCATGTAGCGAGAAGCCAGTGGAAGCGAACGAGCAGTGCCAGTTGTCAGTAGCTCATCAACTGGCATTGTGCAGAAGGTTAGAGATGAGCATCCTCATTCTGTTCCTCTTCAAGTGCAAAGTTTGCATTGTATGAGGGATATCTGGAAAGTAAGGTTACAAGGCACGTAGTTCTCATGGGGAATTTTCACGGGGGAAGTTGGTATCACCGCCATGTAACGAGAAGCCAGCGGAAGTGAATGAGCAGTGCCTATTGTCAGTAGCTCATCAACTGGCATTGTGCTGAAGGTTAGAGATGAGCGTCTTCATCCTGTTTCCCTCCAAGTGCGAAGTTAAAATGTTTTAAGCCACCGATCTCGCACCCAGTGACTATCATCTGTTCACTAAATTGAAGGAACACGTGGGTGAAAAATGCTTTTCTGATGAGGCGAAGGTGAAAATCGAAGTGACAAACTGGCTGAAAAAGGCAGTGGAAAACCTCTATGACACAGGCATCAAAAACCCGTTCGACGGGATGACGAAATGTATGGAACTGAACTGTGATTACGTGGAAAAATAATGAAATACCTATACTACAATCTAGGTAAGTTTTATTAAAATATATTCATTTTTTGTATATCATAGTTCCCACAATGATGGAGAAGGTTGTTGCTGAGTTGGATCTCCCATCATCCCTTTCTGATGACGGGAGTTGTCGCTGGACTCCAGTGTCCTCTTCTTCTGCTATGGCACAATTGGGGAATGTGTTCCATTTGCAATCAGAGATGAAAGGCGATCAGTAAAATGGCGGTGGCGGGGGGGGGGGGGGGGGGGGAATTAAAAGCATAGCCCATTGCTCTTTTTGACGTCGGATTAATCTCTCCCACTTGCCGGCCAGGCTCCACTTAACAGGGTCGAAATTGGCTCTGATAAATTGGTGCTGAAGCTTGGCCCGCCGTGGCTGCCATGCCCAGGGACGAGTCATTATTCTTCCAATTTAGCTCTTCTGACGCTTGTTAACAGAGATTAGGGGGCCTCCATATGGTACTCTTTAGCCCAGCATGCAGGGCAGCTGACCAGGTCTCGGCCCCTTTCCACCCACGGTCTCCAAGGCCGGCTAATGAGAACGGATGGACAGTCCTTTGGCCACAAATGGCACGCAGATGGGCTGAGATGGGTTTTAGCTCGGCCACTCGGAAACCTAATTTAATTTTGCGGGGGTGGGGTGGGGGTGGGGAGAGAATGTATCTTGGCACACAGAACTCCCAAGACCAACAGAAAATACTGGAAGGGTTTTGGTGGGCATTGACCTTGAGTTTTGGAGTTGTAGTTCACCTACATCCAGAGAGCACTATGGACTCAAACAATGATGGATCTGGACCAAACTCGGCATGAATACTCAATATGCCCAAATGTGAACACTGGTAGAGTTTGGGGAATATAGACCTGAAGCGGTACCTATTTATCTATTCACATTGCTGCTTTCTAAACTGCTAGGTAGACAGGAGCTGGGCTAAAAGCCAGGAGCTCACCTTGACCCGGGTTTCAAACTGTCAACCTTTCAGTTGGCAAGATTTACTGCAGCTGGCAGTTAACCTGCTGTGCTAAAGCCTGACTAAAGACTTTGTAAACCTACAACTCCCAGAATACCATAACATTGAGTTCAAACAGAGTCAAACTACAGTATATGAGGGTTATCTGGAAAGTAAGGTCACAAGGAACGTAGCTCTCATGGGGAATTTTTGCAGGGGAAGCTGGTATCACTGCCGTGTAGCAGGAAACTGGTGGAAGTGAACGAGAAATGCAAGTTGTCAGTAGCTCATCGACTGGTGTTGTGGTGAAAGAGATGAGCGTCCTCATTCTGTTTCTTTCCAAGGGCGAAGATTGAGCTGTATGAGGGATATCAGGAAAGTAAGCTTACAAAGCATGTAGATCTTGTGGGGAATTTTCTCAGAGGAAGTTGGTATCACTGCCGTGTAGCAGGAAGCCAGCGGAAGCAAACGAGCAGTGCCAGTCGTCAGTAGCTCATCAACTGGCTTTGTGAAGGTTAGAGCTTAGCATACTCATTCTGTTTACAGTGTAAAGTTCGACACAGGCATCACAAACCTGTCCTACAGATGACAAAATGTATTGAACTGAATTGTGATTACGTGGAAAAATAATGTAATACCTATGCTACAATCCATGTAAGTTTTATTAAAATATATTCATTCTTTGTATTTTCCAAATAACCCTCGTAGATACACGCCTAAGTCTCCCAGAGTCCAGATCTATCATTCCGACCAAGCAGACCTTCATGATGTATTTTGAGGAACTTCACCACAGCCTTCCTGAAGCTGAGAGAGTGTGACTTGCTGAGGGTCACACAGTAAGTTGTCCCACCTTCAAACCACTCCATCACACTCTCAGTACCTTTAAAGTCTAGATGAAACCCCAGTGCTCTGTCGAACACACTAATGGAACGGGAGCCTCCGCCAGCTTTGAGACCCCCGCACTCCTTTCCAAGGTGGACCCCCCCCTTGATTGGATCTCTCCAAAACCGCTGGCAAAATGTCACCCTTCTGCCCACGCAGCTGTCTGCCCACCTGTCCCCTGGACCTTGAAAGTGTGAGATTGCAATTATGCCCGAAAGACAATGTCCTTTCGAGGTGCGGGAACGGTGGAAGGTGGGTGCCGTGCACAAAACAGACCTTTCAGAACCCATTAAGGCCTTTCCATGAGACTCCATCAGGTCCCATTAGCGGGATGCCACTGAGACGCCAGGCCTCTCTTTCGGAAGCTGGAGAAAAACAGGTCTTTGTAGAGGACAGTTAATTCATGCTTTGCGCCTTCAATCTGTCTAAATCTTCTTTGCCTGTCAAGTGCTTTATGGAGGATGTGGGCATTTCAACAGTTCCACAAGTTAGATGGGGGCAAGCAGGATCTCTTTCACATTCTAGAAGCACAGGACACAAATCTCATCTTGAGGAATCCAAATGATGTATAATTTTGAGATGGAGAGCTCTAGTGCCTTCCAAAACTACAGATTCCTGGGGCAACCATGGCCCTTAAATTGGGGTCAAAGTCCTATGATTTGTAGTTGATCAGGAGAGGATTTGTTGCACTCCAAGGCTGTGCTTAACACACACTCCAGTTCAAAGGTAAAATAGCAAAGGAAGCTATTGAAGGATACACATGAAAAGCAGTTCAGCAAAATAGCATAAGAAACCAAAGTTTTCTTGTCTAAACTGCCACCGGACAAGATGCCAAAGGGGAAGAAGGCCAAGGGGAAGAAGGTGGCGTCAGTGCCCGCCATGGTCAAGAAACAGGAGGCCAAGAAGGTCGTCAACCCGCTCGAGAAGCCTACCAAGAACTTCGGCATCAGGCAGGACATCCAGCCCAAGCGGGACTTGATGCACTTTGTGAAGTGGCCACGCTACATCCGGCTCCAGCGCCAGAGGGCCATCCTCTACAAGCGGTTCAAGGTGCCCCCCATCATCAACCTCTTCACCCAGGCCCTGGACCGCCAGACAGCCGTCCAGTTGCTGAAGCTGGCCCACAAGTACTGGTCGGAGAACAAGCAGGAGAAGAAGCAGCGGCTGGTGGCCAGGGCCGAGCAGAAGGCAGCTGGGAAGGGGAACGTCTCCACCAAGAGGCCCCCCGTCCTAAGGGCAGGGGTCAACACTGTGACCACGTTGGTGGAGAACAAGAAGTCCAGCTGGTGGTCATTGCCCACGATGTGGACCCTGTTGAGCTAGTGGTCTTCCTGACTGTCTTATGCCGGAAAATTGGGATCCCCTACTGCATCATCAAGAGCAAGGTCCGTCTGTGGCGCCTCGTCCACCGCAAGACCTGCACCTGCCTTCACCCAAGTGAACCCGGAGGACAAGGGAGCCTTGGCCAAACTGGTGGAAGCTGTCAAGACCTATTGCAATGAGAGATATGACGAGATCCGCCACCATTGGGGCAGGAACGTCCTGGGGCCGAAGTCGGTGGCCCGCATCACCAAGTTGGAAAAGGCAAAAGCTAACGAATTGGCCACGAAACTCGGGTAGAGGCAGCCGAGTGGACCTCCATTGTGGTGCTTTCTGTACATACAAATAAAAAGCCTGAACAGAAGAAAAGAAACCAAAGTCCAAATATTAGGAATAATCCACAGAATTTGAAGTACATGAGTAGCATCAAAAACCAGGAATATACAAGCAGAATAAATCCAAAACATGAGATTCAGGAACAGTCTTTAAAAGCTTGGAAACATAAAACATGAACAAGAGGTAACATGGAACTAGAAATCTCTTGACTTGACTTAAGTTCTGTACTCAAACACCAATGTTGCCTCGACTATCTAAACGGTCTGCTGGTCTAGCTAATTTAGACAGAAAATCATGCCTTCTCCCCTAAGAAACTGATAAGGACTTCTTGGCTAATAGGCATCTTGACCTTCATAAACTCTCCCGAGAAGCTCTATGTTGACGGAACATAAATCTTTTCTCTAACTATTCAGTAGTTTGTCCACCTGGACTTTCATTTTTATCCTCTGAGCTCAGTTCTGTTTCTGACGTTGCTTCTCTAGCGAACTACCTTTCTGGAATGTGGCCTTCAGACACAGACCGCTCATTTTCAGGGCATAAAATCTCTTGCTGACTTGCAGGCCCAGAATCCCTAGTGTCATCAGGTTGACTAACAGGCCCAGAATCCCCAGTGAAATCAGGAGCAGGCACAATCAAAGGCTGGACTACAACAGGGTCGCTTTAAGAAGAAGCTGTAAATCATTGGACTGGGATGGGCACTGGTTAGGGGAACATGTTTGCTTCTCCGTGGCTTCCATGAATTAAATGCAAATGGGCTGAGCCAAACCAAGTCACTAGAAATCCCATTTTGGAGAAAAGGGATGTTAAACATGTTAAACACAGCAAGGTTTAATCCTGCAATGTATTGTAAAGATACCATATAATGATCAGGCTTTTGGACAACAGATGTAATTTAGCACTTTGATTGGAAATTGACTGGAAAGGCACTACAGCTGACGATACTGTTTATTGTTTTAATTAATGCTTTATGTACTGTTTTTAATTATTGTTTTATGTATTTTAATTATTGTGGGATTATTGTAATTGTTGATATATAGCGGCATCGAATCATTGCCAAATGTACGCCATCCTGAGTCCCCCTTCGGGGGTAGAGAAGAGACGTGGTAGAAATACCGGAAATAATAATAATAATAATAATAATAATAATAATAGTAATAATAAATGCAGCAGTTCTCCACGGGCCATGTGAGGAACACCACATGTAACGAAAAGCAGGTGAGGAGCTGGTACCCAATCCCGCTTGCTTTTGTGTCAAGCTGATTTTCGTACCGGGAGGGGGCTTCCTATTACGTGCTCCCGAAGGTAACGAAAGTAACGAAATAATGGATGAAAATGGTTCCATGAGCATGTCTAAGGCACCAAACATCATCTGATCTTGGAAGCTAAACAGGATCAGCCTTGGTTAGTGCCTGGATGAGGGATTGCCAAGGAATCAACTGGTAAAACAACCTCTATTTCTTGCCTAAGGAAATCATACAAATTCTTCAAAGTCTGTTGATCCAGATCAAGATTTTGGAGTCTCTCCTTGCAGGGACTCGACTATAAAGACTCTCATGATGAATTTCAGCAAGCTCAGATTTGTCACAACATCCTGGAATGCAGCCGTGGTGTGGTTTGGATCAGCTGCCCTCCGTTTCTTCCACTGCCACAAGCCGAAACTCCAACGCAACCCGGCCTCCATCACCGAAGACCCCATTAAGAGGACCAGTGTATCTCCCGCTGCCCTCTTCCACTTAAAAGCATTTGCTTGCCCTCTCCGGCTCTGCCGTCTCGCACAGTCCTTCCATTTTCTTGTTTCGTTGAGGCTTCCTGCCACCTTCTCGCACACCTCTGCTGCTTTGGGAGGGCTCACTCCGTGTTCCTGTCTTTCGGATGTCAGGCAATCTTTTTGATTTGAGACACAGATCTCCTCCTCCTCTTGGCCTTTCTCTTTCTTCCTCTGCCTCCGCTGTGTTCAAACGAAGCCATTCCTTTCTCTCTTGGTCAACAACAAATATCCATTTCTTGCTGCAATTTGGACAGAGCCTTTGCTTCCAGGTCTGTGGGGCAGTGAATCCAGTCCAGAGGCATGCTTTAAAGCAAGGCTGGGCAAACACATATTTGCCCTTACCAGACCTTAATGGGCTTCAACCCCATCACTATATTAAAAGGAGATTAACGTATATTGATCAGATTGGCATACAGTATAAGGGGGATGAGAACATATTTAGGATTAAGGTATTTGTCTATCAGTTACCTTCACTTTTTCTTTCTGTATATGTATACTTTTATTTGGATGAGATGTATTTTGATAAGGTCAATTAGCTGATCAATAAAACAATTTTGTTTAATCACTATATTGCAAGTCGCATGTGACAGACAGTTTCATCTATGCTGATGATCCTGCCATCACCGCTCAAGCAGGGAGCTTTGAAATGGTTGAACAGAAGTTCTCTGAAGCTTTAGGTGCTCTTACTATCTATTACAGGGAAAACCAGGTTGCACCATCAATGTTTAGCATTTACACAAATAACCAGCCACTGCCAGAAGGGACAGAGAGTTTTATCTATGCTGACGATTGTGCCATCACCGCCCAAGCAGGGAACTTTGAAATGGTTGAACAGAAGCTCTTCAACGCTTTAAGTGCTCTTACTGCCTATTCCAAGAAAAGCTAGCTTCAACCATCAGCGTTTAACATTTACACAAATGATAAGCCTCTGCCAGAAGGGACAGAGAGTTTCATCTATGCTGATGATCCTGCCATCAACGCCCCAGCAGGGAGCTTTGAAATGCTTGAACAGAAGCTCTTCAATGCTTTAGGTGTTCTTATTGCCTATTAAAGGGAAAACCAGCTTGCACTGTCAATGTTTAACATTTACACAAATGATCAGCCAGTACCAAAAAGGACAGAGAGTTTAATCTATGCTGATGATTGTGTCATCACCACCCAAGCAGGGAGCTTTGAAATGGTTGAACAGAAGTTCTTCAATGCTTTAGGTGCTCTGATTGCCTATTACAGGGAAAACCTGCTTACACTGTAAATGTTTAACATTTACACAAATAACCAGCCACTGCCAGAAGGGACAGAGAGTTTCATCTATGCCGACGATCATGCCATCCCCACCCAAGCAAGGGTAGAACAGAAGCTCTCCGAAGCTTTAGGTGCTCTGACTGCCTATTACAGGAAAAACCAGGTTGCACCATCAATGTTTAACATTTACACAAATGATCAGCCACTACCCAAAAGGACAGAGAGTTTCATCTATGCTGATGATTGTGCTATCACCACTCAAGCAGGGAACTTTGAAACGCTTGAACAGAAGCTCTCCAAAGCTTTAGGTGCTCTTACTGCCTATTACAGGGAAAACCTGCTAATTCTTAATCCATTTAAAATGCAGATGTATGCTTTTTACCTTAAGAACAGACAAACATCTTGAGCTCTGAGGTATAAGTGAATGAAATAAATAAATAAATTACCTGGGAAGGAATCTCAATGGAGCATTGCAACACACCAAAATATCTGGAAGTCACTCTGGACCATGTTCTCACTTATAAGAAGCTCTGCTTGACTATCAACCAAAAAGTAGGTGCTAGAAATAATATCAAAGCTGACTGGCACAACCTAGGGATCACATTGAAGACATCTGCCCTTGCGTTTTGCTACTCTGCTGCTGAATATTCATGCCCAGTGTGAATTACATCTCATCGCATTAACTCTACAATGTGAATGCACCAAGTCAGGATTTCAATCCTATTACAAGAACAAGGCAAGATGAATAATCACATGACAAGGAAACCTTTTAGTGCCACCGTGCAAGTAAAGCTGTACATTGATCAACCCACCTCTTCTACGAGAATTTTCTGTTTTTCACTTCCTTCATCTTAAATATTTTTTTCTGTGATATTAGCTTTTTTTTTTAAGGCCTCAGTTTGATGTTTTGGAATTGAACGGCTGGCAAGATAGCAAGGGATTTGCTGGTGACAAGACACCTCCGCAGATAACAAGGGCTGACTGTGATCGGATGGCAGAGTAATTACAGGACGGCTGGATCCAATTCATCTTGCGAGCGAGGGATGGAATTCCTCCTCCATCAGACCTTCCGAGTGCAAAGGGGCGGAAGATGATGTCCGAGTAATGAGAAATTCTCTCTCGGCAAATAAGGAAGGATGCCGGCTCACTAGATAGGGATCCCACCACTTTACTTATAACAGCATTTCTCAACCTGGGTGTCAGAGGGGTCCACTGTGCTTTCTGGACGTAGGTGAACTACAACTCCAAAACTTAACATCAATGCCCACCAAACCCAGTATTTTCTATTGGCCGTGGGAGGTTTGTATCCAAAGTTTGGTTCAATTCCATTGTTGGTACAGTTCAGAATGCTCTTTGATTGTAGGTGAACTATAAATCCCAGCAACTGCAACTCCCAAATCTTCCCCAAACGCCACCAGTGTTCACATTTGGGCATATTGAATATTTCTGCCAAGTTTGGTTCAGATCCATCACTGTTTGAATCCACAGTGCTCTCTGAATATAGATGAACTACAACTCCAAAACTCAAGGTCAATGCCTACCAAACCCTTCCAGTATTTTCTGTTGGTCATGGGAGGTTTGTATGCCAAGTTTGGTTCAATTCCATTGTTGGTATCGTTCAGAATTCTCCTTGATTGTAGGTGAACTATACATCCCAGCAACTGCAACTCCAAATGTCTATTTTCCCCAAACTTCACCAGTGTTCACATTTGGGCATATTGAGTATTCACATCAAGCTTTGTCTAGATCCATCCTTGTTTGAGTATACAGTGCTCTCTGGATGTAGGTGAGCTACAACTCCAAACTCAAGGTCAATGCCCACCCAACCTGTCCACTATTTTCTTTTGGTCATGGAAGTACTGTGTGCCAAGTTTGGCCCAATTCTCTTGTTGGTGGAATTCAGAATGCTCTTTGTGGGTGAACTATAAAACCCAGCAACTATAACCCCCAAATGTCAAGGACTATTTCCCCCAAACTCCACCAGTGTTCACATTTGGGCATACTGAGTATTCGTGCCAAGCTTGGTCCAGATCAATCACTGTTTGAGTCCACAGTGCTTTCTGGATGTAGCTGAACTACAACTCCAAAACTCAAGGTCAATACCCACCAAACCCTTCCAGTATTTTCTGTTGGTCGTGGGAGTTCTGTGTGCCAAGTTTGGTTCAGTACCATCGTTGGTGGAGTTCAGAATGCTCTTCAATCTTTGATTGTAGGTGAACTCTAAATCCCAGCAACTACAGCTATGCTGGAGCACATCTCCTAGCAAAGTGTAAAAACCTTTTCCCTTTCTCCTCTGTTTTTTGTCCTGACTTCAGAATGGAAGGCTGGCTTCTCGGTCTATTTACTCACATTGCACAAGAATGGGGAAGACCCAGCTGTCGAAAGCAAACCAATATTGCCACACTCACTTTTTACAGAACGTAATCCTGCATTTCCCTGAACAACCCCCTGCTTTCACCGGCCTGACTTTGCTCTCCTTTCCAACACAAACATTTCTCGATTGCTTACTTAATACTCCTTGAAATACTTTCGAATTCAGCACTCAGACCTAAGGTGTGGCAGACGGAACCATTCTGTCTCCCTTTTTGAGAAACAGAGAAGAGAGAAAGGAAACAACTTGGAGTGGGATCGGTTGTGTTTTCCTTTTGGTCCGACCTAGTGGAAAGGATGAGATAAGGATCAGAGTTCAACATTCAGGCAAATACTGCTGAACTTGCAGGACTACGAATCCCTGGCAGTGTAAATAGTCCAGGAAGAGACTGCAAAACAAAGCTGTCGGCCTCAAGAAGTGCTTTGCAGTGATGAGGTAGGTTCTCCTTAAGATGTTTCTTCTACTAAGAGTCAGGGATCTTCTCTCTGTAATTATATTTTCATGCCATGGATAGCTGAGTCCATGGGCACAGCATATGTGGATATCGAGGGCTGAATGTACCCTCCAAGTGCCCCATTTGGCCAAGAAAGCTCATCCTAGCTTCATTGGAAATGACTTGAAAGCACACAACAACCAAGCATAGTTGGACTAAGGTTTAGGAGTCCTAGGTTCAAGTCTCCACTTACTTCTGAAGCTCGTTAGATGACATTGGACCAACCACTCTTTCTCCACCTGACTTATTTCCCAAGATTGTTGTGGAAGCATAGTTCAACTGAGGTTTAGGAGGCATAGGTTCAAGTCTCCATTTACTTCTGAAGCTAATTGGATGACATTGGACCAACCACTGACTTATTTCCCAAGATAGTTATGGAAGCATAGTTGGACTAAGACTTAGGAGGAAAAGGTTGAAGTCTCCACTTGCTTCTGAAGCTCATTGGGTGACATTGAACCAACCACTCTTTCTCCACCTTACTTCCCAAGATTGTTGTGGAAGCATAGTTGAACTAAGGTTTAGGAGGCCTAGTTTCAAGTCTCCTCTACTTCTGAAGCTCATTGGGTGACATTGGACCCACCACTCTTTCTCCACCTGACTTCACAAGATTGTTGTGGAAGCATAGTTGGACTAAGGTTTAGGAGGCCTAGGTTCAAGTCTCCACTTACTTCTGAAGCTCAATGGGTGACATTGGACCAACCACTCTTTCTCCACCTGACATACTTCCCAAGATTGTTGTGGAAGCATAGTTGAACTAAGGTTTAGGAGGCCTAGTTTCAGGTCTCCTCTACTTCTGAAGCTCATTGGGTGACATTGGACCAACCACTCTTTCTCCACCCAACTTCCTCCTCAAGAAAGTAACTTTACCCATCATTCCCATCTTGTATAGATCTTGCTTCTTCTTGGCCATCCTTTGCTACGGGGTGCTTGGAGATGTCCTTCAGCTGGAGAAGATGTATGGAAGGATCGCATCTCCAGATTTCCCCAACATCTATCCAAACAGCAAGGAGAGGACTTGGAACATCACGGTGCCCCGGGGCTATGCTATCCGACTCTACTTCACCCACTTCAACCTGGAGTTGTCCTATCTGTGTGAATACGACTATGTGAAAGTAGGTGAAAGTAGAAGCATGGAGATGGTTCTTCATCATAGTATACAATACAGGGGTTATGGGGCTCATGGTCCCAGGACAGCCCAGAAAACTCACAACAACCCAGTGATTCCAGTCATGAAAGCCTTCAACAATAGAATAATAGTAATGATAACAATAATTTTCACCTCTCTGCCCTCTTTTCTTCTTGGGTTCAATTCTCACCCCACTTTTCTCGTTTCTTCTCAGCCTCCTTCAGTTCTAAGTATGCAAGTAGTTGGGATTCTATTAAGTAATGAGGCAAGAGGACAGAACCTTATTCTTCCCAGTTGGCTCAGGCAAAAGCAAACCACTGCAGCCTTTCCAAACTTGCCTTCTTCATTAATACCTCTTTGCCATCTTGACCACACTCAGATGTTGCTACTAGTTTTCACCCATCAAATGTTGGGAGGGTCGGCCAAAGTTGGCGATAGCTTGTTGTTCTTCCCTCACCACCAATCACACACTTCTCATTTTCCAGTTGCGTTCAGGAGGAAATGTATTGGCCACTCTGTGTGGGCACCAGAGCACCGACACGGAGGAAGCCCCGGGAGACAAGACCTACCACTCGCTGGACAACAACCTGGCAGTGACCTTCCGCTCGGACTACTCCAACGAGAAGGAATTCACTGGCTTTGAAGCATTCTATGCTGCCGAAGGTGAGAGCGGGACATTGGCAGAGATGAGGAGGCCCAGAAAAGAAATTGTGTGTGTGTGTGTGTGTGTGTGTGTGTATGTATATATATATAGTATTTATACTCCGCCCTTCTCACCCTTATCTAAATGCTCATTATCTTATCTCTCATTAACTTCTGCACCTAACAAATCATCTTCAGACAGTTGTTCTGAGAAAAGCTGTGAAGGGCCTCTCCCAAGAATGTGGCCTTGTGAATCTTATTTATTTATTTACAGTATTTATAGTATAGGGGACTCAGGGCCGATCACAATGCACATATACATGGCAAACATTCAATGCCATAGACATACAACATATATAGACAGACACACAGAGGCTATTTAACGTCCAGCTTCATGAGGGTATGCTTTGAATTCCAGCCACCAGGGGAGCTGTTGCTTCACCATCCACTTGTGACACTGATGGAGTACTTCCTCATTCTTTTGCACGCTGCTGGAGAGTTTTATGGCATCGTAAATTAGTTAAATTATTCTCCCCGGAGCTGTCACTTCACCATCCATTTGTGATACCAATGGAGTATTTCCTCATTCTTTTGCACACTGCCGGATAGTTTTATGGCATCATAAATTAGTTAAATTATCTTCCCCAGAGCTGTCACTTCACTGTCCACTTGTGACACTGACGGAGTACTTCCTCATTCCTTTTCACACTGCTGGAGAATTTTATGGCATCGTAAATTAGCCTCCCCGCATAAGTGGTACCTAAGTTTCCTACGTAACATATGCAACTGTCTTTCGGGCAGTAAAGGTTGACAGCAAGCTAGACTCCGACCTGGGCTGGCTTTGAACTCATTGTGATTTTTAATGCAGCTGACTCCCAACCAGGTGCGCCACAGCCCGGAAATTGGAGGAGCTTGTCAAACTACCCCATAGCAGTTCAAGTGGGGTCAAATTGCATTAATGCTAGAGTCCAGGTGCACCCATGGTTTCCTTTTCTCACTTCATTTCATGAGAATGAGCCCTTTCATGGCTACTTGGACCTCTATTCAAAATAGTTCCATCATTTCTGGAGCGAGCCAAATTTCATCTGCTCTTTTCTCTCTCTCTCTTCCAACCCCTCCAGACGTTGATGAGTGTGAACAGCAGCTCGACGGTGAGCCGATTTGTGATCATCACTGCCATAATCACCTGGGCGGCTTTTACTGCAGCTGCCAGGTTGGATATCTGCTGCACAGAGACAAGAAGACCTGCACCGGTGAGTGGCCACCACCAATGGAGATAGGGAGAAACAACACCACATGCATCCCAGACCCTTGACATTATCTAGTCGAGTCTGACTCTGGGAGGTGATGCTCATCTCCATTTGCCGGTGTTGTCCGTAGACACCTCCAAGGTTATGTGGCCAGCATGACTGCATGGAGCGCAGAAATAGTACCTATTGATCTACTCAAATTTGCATGTTTTCAAACTGCTAGGTTGGCAGAAGCTGGGGCTAACAGTGGGAGCTCACCCTACTCCCTGGATTCAAACCACTGACCTTTTGGTGAGCGGGTTCAGCAGCTCAGCGGTTTAACCTACTGTGCCATCAGGCGCTCCTTTATCTATATCTATATACACATAATAAAAGTGAAAATATGTATGTGTGTATGTAGCTGGGATGTCCACTTCCACAGACAACCTCCTATCTCCACAAACAGCGATAGCTCCCACTACTCAGGAGACACCAATGGCCCTCTCTCCAATGACATTGCAGGTTATAGTGAACATGTCAATGTCCTCCACCAACATCATTCTGCCCATCACCCAAGGAATGCTTTCATACAGGGAAAATTCCAGCCTAGATTTTGTTTTTCCTCAAAAACCACAGGCATCTCAGTGTTTCTCTCTCTCCCCATTGGTGTGAAATTTGCATAAACCAGAGCAAACTTGATGAACATGTTGTCCAAGAGCCCTGCCAATGTCCTCCACCAACACCACACTGCCCACACCCAAGTGAAGGCTTTCACATGGTGACAATTTTATCCTAGGTTTTCTGCGTTTCCTCCACCACAGAAACCCCAGTGTTCCCTATTCTCTCCATTGGTGCAGAATTTGCATGATCCCGCCAATGATGGACCTGGACCACACTTGGCACACAGGACCCCCATGACTAACTCAGCAAATTCAGCAGCTCAGCCGTTTAACCCGCTGCACCTTTTACAGATCTATGCTTAACTGGCGAGGCACTATTGGCTTTCCCCCTTTCCTCTCTGTCTTGGTCAAGTAGTAAGTTACTTTTGATCCTTTTGTGTCCTTCGTGCTGCTTCGGTTATCGACACAGTGCGGACAGGACATCATCCTTCACGAGACTTTCCAATGCAACACATAAAATAAATCAAATGCACTGTTATGAAGAAGGAAAAATGAAAATACGTCCTGCTCTGGAGGGTTGTATTTATTTACCGGCTTCTTTTCTCTTCTGTCCCCCTCTCTCTCCTCCCTTCTTTATTTTCCAGCATGAATGAAATAACTAAATCTGCTTCTTCGGGACTTAGGCGGAGACAGAGATAAGACGTACAGAGAGATTCCCTCCTGAACCGCCTGCAGCTTTCCTGCTGCAAACTTCAATCTGGGACTAGCTCGGGTCTCTTTCCTTCCCGCCTAGGTTTGCCCCCTGCTGTTAATAAAGGAATTACTTTCCTCGGTGCCTTCTGAGTTTTCTCAAGGCTTAATGCCTCCCTCTGGTATTCCAAAAGTGAGCTGCCGATAAGGAGCACAAGCCGATCAAAGAATTGTCTTAAGGGGAAGTCGGCACGGGGTCCCAAAATGGAAGGAAAGAAATTGGGAGAGAAGGAACAATTCTAGCAGTTCGACACCATCTTAACTCCATCCACTGGGATTTGTAATTTCGTAGAATTTTCTACTCAAAAGTTCCAGGTGTTGTTAAGATCTCCAGGTGTCAAAAAGATAGTTAAGATCTTTCTTAACGATCTTTTCTAGAATCTTGCTTGGTATTGACGTGAGGCTGACCAGGCATTGGTAATTGCTTGGGTCATCCTTGTTTCCCTTCTTGAAGATAGAGAGGGATCACATTTGCCCTCCTCCGATCTGCTGGGACTTCTCCCCTTCTCCAAAAACTCTCAAAGATGACTACAAGTGGTTCCGAAATAACTTTCACTAGTTCCTCTTGGATGTAGTTGATCCAACCCTGTGGACTTGAATTTGTTTAGAGTGGCCAGGTATCCCTAGACAACTTGTTTCCCTATTTGGGGGTGGATTTCGTCCACTCCATGTTGCTGAGGTCGTGGGCGGCTTTCTTTCTTTCTTTATTATTTATTTGCTTTACTTCTATACCGCCTTTCTCAGCCAGAATGGCGACTCAAAGCGGTTTACATAGTAAAGGTTATCACAACAATATCAAAAAAGGCAATTAAAACACATTATACAAGACATACCAGATCAAAAACTTCTCACTTTTGTGAGAAGTCTGAGGCAAAGAAAGCATTGAGCAGTTTTCCCTTTTACCTGTCCCCTGTCAGCATTACCCCATCTTCTCCTCTCAGTGGCCCTATCACCTCCTGGTTTTTCTTTTTTCTACTGACTTAAGCAAATAAGCCCTTTAAATTATTTTTAATTTTGCTGGAAGCCTGAGTTCATTTTGCGCTTTAGCCTTGCAAACATTTTCCGTACAGGAGTTGGTTATTGTTTTGAATTCTTCTTTGGTGGTTTCTCCCCTTTTCAACTGCTTGTTCTTGTCTGTTTTGAATCTTAGCCCAGTTCGAAGTTCTTTGGGCATCCATTCTAACTGGGCTAAGACTCAAAAGAGACATGCACAAGAAGTGGAAAAGGGGAGGAATCACCAAAGATAAGGGTCGACTCTCCATCCATCTCTCTCTGTCTCAATCTCACTTTGCTCTTAAACTCCAAAGTCACCCATGCTGTCAATTCATTCCCCTCCACCTCCACTTCGGATTCTGCTATGCTTTTCAGTTGCTTGGTAATGTAATTTACAGCCCGTTGTTAATTCCGGACCTAATGATCCAGCCATCATGAGTTCACAAGTTGAGACAGGCTCGTTTCTCAGAGTTCAGGTCTCTCGTGGGCCATGCTGCGTATCTCTAATAAAAATATAGGCCTAAGTATAATTGAGAGCTCTCCCGGCACCCCTCGAGTTTATGGCCCAGGGCTGGGTGAAAAATGACACTGTTCTTCTTGTGCAAGCCTTTATATACCTAGACAGAGAGACAGACAGAAATAGATTTTTCACTCTCGCAAAACTATGACATCGTAAAAAATACAGCCCTTCATCATAAAAGAAGCTCCCTGTGGCTCCATATAAAAAGGTATAAAACACAAAAAGAGGACTAATTCTAAAATGTTTGGTTGTCAGGACTGGAAGGCGAACAAGATACCTGTCCTATTTAATAGCCAGGGTTTTCTTAATACATACTGGATAGTCAGGGAGTTAATACGGAGGGGCATAACCATTCCCTTGACGACACAAAATGTTGAGGCATAAACCTGTCATATTTGCTCATTGGGCCATGTTGGCGCAATGGGTTAAACCCCTGTGCTGTTGAACTGCTGACCTGAAGGTTGGCAGTTCAAATCTGTGGGACGGGGTGAGCTCCCACTGTTAGTCCAAGCTCCTGCCAACCTAGCAGTTTGAAAACATGCAAATGTGAGTAGATAAATAGGTATTGCTTCAGCAAGAAAGATGCTCCAAGCAGTCATGTTGGTCACACGACCAGGTGGTGACAATACAGGCTCCTTGGTTTGGAAATGGAGAACAGCACCTCCCAAAGAGCCAGAGATGTGCATTGGCCTTTAAAGCCGGAAATGAAAGGAGAAGCCTTTGCCTTTGTTTTGTGTGTCTCATTGTACTGTAACACGGCATTGAATGTTTGCTGGTATCTGTTTATTTTTAATTTACAGCATTTATATTCTGCCCTTCTCACCCTGGAGGAGGCTCAGGGCGGATGCTCTTTGATTGTAGATGAACTACAAATCTCAGCAGCTACAACTCCCAAATGACAAAATCAATCCCCCCCAAAGGTAAAGGTTTTCCCCTGACATTAAGTCCAGTCGTGTCCGACTCTGGGGTGTGGTGCTCATCACCATTTCTAAGCTGAAGAGCTGGCGTTGTCCGTAGACACCTCCAAGGCAACCCCCCCCACCCCAACCCTACCAGTATTCAAATTTGGGTGTATGGCATATTTATTTATTTATTTATTTACCATATTTATATACCACCTTTCTCAGCCCGAAGGCGACTCAAGGAGGTTTACAGTCGACACAGTTTGATGCCTCCAACAACATAAATTACCATTATAAACAATTAATATATAATATAAAACCATATAAAACCAGTAAAAACATAAGTGCTCAGTGTCTCATTACTAAAAACATTATTAAGGGGTCGCGGCATTTGGAAGGTTGAGAAACAGTGTTTTAAAGTGAGATCTTTGTTCAGGCCAACTTTCTCTTTGGAAAGTTTCGTCTGGAAAGAAGGGTTAGACGTGACTTGGGGGCGAAGAACAACAACGGGTGAAAGGCTTGATAGCTTGAATGCTCATTTTGCGTCATCTCCAGCGCTTTACTGCTGTGACAAGTAAACTCTTCCCAGCGTACGTGTCAACCCTTGCTCCATCCACCTCCATAAACCGGTTGGCAGGGAGTTCTTGCCAGCAGCACTGAGAGCATCATCATCGCCGGACCCCAGGAAGCACCAGGCACTGTCGGGAAGCGAAGTCCCCTCCGGCACTTGCTAACAGATCTGTCCTGCCTTGCCCTCCCTGGCAGGACACCGTTGTGGCCGCAAGCATGCCAGCAAGGGTTGCCACTGGATGCTTCCAAGCACAAATCATCTCCACTCCTACATAAGCGGCAACCGAGAGGAGCAGTGTGTGTGTGGGAGAGTTAGAGAAGGAAAGCAGCAGGTCGCTGTGATCCAAATGTGTTAAGCAGGAGAAGAATGAAGCAAAGATACTTCTCTTCTTGTTGCGCTCTCCTTTTCTTTCTCTCCTTCGATGCCGYTTCTTTCCTTTTTCTATCCCTGGCTCATTCCACTGTCCCACTTTCAAATCCTTCGTTATTTTTTCAACTTGCCACTTGTTTTAGTCACCAACATCCTCCCTCCTGTAGGACAGTGGTTCTCAACCTTCTCAATGCCGCAACCCCTTAATCCAGTTCCTCATGTTGTGGTGGCCCCTACAAATGCCAGAAGCGATTAAGAGTTTCATCTATGCTGATGATCATGCCATCACCGCTCAAGCAGGGAGCTTTGAAATGGTTGAACAGAAGCTCTCCGAAGCTCTAGGTCAGTATTTCTCAACTTTCCTAATGCCGCAACCTCTTAATCCAGTTCCTCATGTTGTGGTGACCCCTACAAATGCCAGAAAAGACAAAGAGTTTCATCTATGCTGACGATCATGCCATCACCGCTCAAGCAGAGAGCTTTACAATGGTAGAACAGAAGCTCTCCGAAGCTCTAGGTCAGTGTTTCTCAACCTTCCTAATGCCGCGACCCCTTAATCCAGTTCCTCATGTTGCGGTGGCCCCTACAAATGCCAGAAGTGATTAAGAGTTTAATCTATGCTGATGATCATGCCATCACCGCTCAAGCAGGGAGCTTTCCAATGGTTGAACAGAAGCTCTCCGAAGCTCTAGGTCACTATTTCTCAACCTTCCTAATGCCGCGACCTCTTAATCCAGTTCCTCATGTTGTGGTGACCCCCCCCCCCCAAACATAACATTATATTTGTTGCTACTTCATAACTGTAATTTTGCTACTGTTGTGAATTGTCATGTAAATATCTGATATGCAGGATACATTTTCATTCACTGGACCAAATTTGGCACAAATACCCGATACTCCCATATTTGGCATTGGGGGGATTGATTTTGTCATTTGGGAGTTGTAGTTACTGGGATTTATAGTTCACTTACAATCAAAGAGCATCCTGAACTCCACCAACGATGGAATTGAACCAAACTTGGCACACAGAACTCCCATGGCCAGCAGAAAATACTGGAAGGGTTTGGTGGGCATTGACCTTGGGAGTTGTAGTTCACCTCCATCAAGAGAGTACCATGGACTCAAACAAGACCTTGAGTTCTGAAGTTTATAGATCTGGTCCAAACTTGCCACAAATCTTCAATATGCCAAATGTGAAAACTGATGGAGTTTGAAGAAAATAGACCTTGACATTTGGGACTTATAGTTGCTGTGATTTATAGTTCACCTACAACCAAAGTTCATTCTGAACCCTACCAACAATTGGGCCAAGCTTCACACACAGAAGCCCCATGCCTTGAAGGGACTCGCTGATGCAAACCTCCCTCCAGCCTCACATACTCTCCATCGCCTGCACATGCTGTCATGCACTGAGCATGCCTGCTCTCCCCTCTCCGCTTGGAGTCCCAGAAACAGCCCTCCCCTTGGCTCACAGGTCAGCCAATCACAGCACAGGAGGGCTTTTGGTGGGAGGATTCATAGTCTGTTTCCAAAAGGAAGAGCAGGACAGGCAGAGACATCTTCAGCCTTCTCTGCCAAAGGGGTTCCTACATGTTTTCTGATGGTCTTTGGTGACACCTCTGAAACCCCCTCATGACCTCCTCTGGGGTCCCGACCGAATGCTAAAGTCTCTCCAGCCAGTGAATGTCCTCTAGTACATTCACTGGACCACATCTGGCACAAATACCCAATACGCCCAAATTTGAACACTGGGGCCAGGGAATTGACTTTGTCATTTGAGAGTTGTAGTTGCTGGGACTTATAGTTCACCCACAATCAAAGAGCATTCTGAAGCCCACCAATGATAAAATTGGGCCAAACATCCCACAAAAAACCCCCATGCCTTGAAGGGACTCACTAGTGTGAGCCTTCCTTCAGCCTTGCACGCTCTTCCTTGCCCACACATGCACACCACGCTGTCACGCACCGAGCACGCCTGCTCTGCCTTCCCCCGCTTGGAGCCTCAGAAATAGCCCCTTGGCTAAGAGGAGAATCAGAGGAGGGTTTTTTGTGGGAGGATTCCACGTGTTTCCAAAAAGGACGAGCAGGACAGGCGGAGAGATCTTCAGCCTTCTCTGCCAAAGGGGTTCGTAAGGCCACCAGAAATATGTTTTCTGATGGTTTTTGGCGACCCCTCTGAAATCCCCCTCATAATCCCCCCAGGTGTCCTGACCTCCAAGTTGATGAACATTGTTCTATTATGAGATTTGCAGACATTCTTTATGAAGATAGATGTGACTTAGAAATAACTATGATTGCTCATCATGAGCGATATGCCAATCCAGGGAACCACATGAAGGACATGACAAACTCCTTCTGGATCCAGTGCCCGAAAGCACATCTACTAGAAGCACCGTTACTGTTTTCGGAAAAGAGCAAAAGGCATACATGGTTCAATGTTTTCTCAAGAGTCCCTCTTTTCATCCTTTACAGCTGACTGCCAAAGCAGGGTGCTGACAACAAGGACGGGAGAGTTTACCAGCCCGAATTATCCCAACCCGTATCCCAAACTCTCCAAATGCCATTATGGTATCCGGGTGGAAGAAGGATTTATGGTCATCCTGGAATTCGTGGAAACATTTGACGTGGAAAGCCATCCAGAAGTGCCGTGTCCCTATGACATCCTTAAGGTCAGTTGGCCTTACAGTATTTCTAGATTAGCTGTAAAGGTAAAGGTCTATCCAATGAAATTTTCAGAATCGGCACCCCAAATAACCCAACCAAATTGAAAGTTGACCAAAAACTGATTCGTAACTCTTTTAGTATTAATGTTGGAAAGTGGTCCTTAGCCAAACTAGTCCATGGTCAAGTGATCCATGGACCACCAGTGGTCCGCAAGAACTAAAATATGGTCTGTGGCCTCACAGTTTTGGTACTAATGTTGGAGAGTGGCACCTGGTCAAAGTAGTCCATGGTCAAGTGGTCCCTGGTCAAGTGATCTATGGACCATCAGTGGGCCGGAAAAAAAAAAGGTATGTGGCCTCATAGTTCCTACATTGGAGAGAGGCTTGTCTCAAAAAACCTCTTATAGTGCTGAGGCTTATTAAATAAGGTATTCTGTGGGCAAGCCGATGGCGACTAATGGATGGCATATGTTCTGTATCAGAAATTAGAGCTGATGTAGTCTATCCAATGCAATTTTCAGAATCAACACCCCAAATGACCAAACCGAATCTAAAGATGACCAAAAATTGATTCGTAACCCTTTTGGTACTAATGTTGGAGAGTGGTCCCTGGTCAAGGTGGTCCCTGGTCAAATAAAGGTTAGGAACCATTGCTTTGCAGATTTTTTTTTAAAAAAAACCCTTATTCTAATGCAAACCACAGGTGAGAAAGCTTAGCTTCTTAATAAGCTGTAATTCAGTGATTTCACCTGTCTCTCCTTGCCTTTGAAGTTCACTTGATCAGTAATGGCCAATGTAGTATGTCGGGGGAGATAATTCTACTATTTTCTGCAACAGTAGATTTGAAACATACATCTCTACAGCCACATTTGAATTCAAAATGCATTTTCCCCCCTGCTGTTTCATTGCAAATAGCAAAATTTTGTTTTGTGTTAGTCACATTTAAAATCCGTTTTTATTTTACTTTGTAAAAAAATGGAAGCATATAAAAGGGCAAACAAGGATTGTGGGAAGGAGAGAAAAGAGACGGCATCTTCATCAAGCGCAGGTTTGCCGACACACGGGCGGACGCTGAAGGGAGACAGGCCAAGCTGAGTAGTGAAGTGTCTTTCTTCCGTGTTCCAGGTAAAAACACCCAAGCGTGAGTTCGGCCCGTTCTGCGGAGAGACCCTTCCTCCACAAATTGAAACACGCAGCCACATTGTGGATATTGAGTTCACAACGGACCTCTCCGGAGCTCACACTGGGTGGAAGCTCAGATATAACACAACAGGTAGGAGGCTATATTATTGTTTTAACAGAAGGTGTGCACTGGCAGAGGTTGGTGGGCATATCTACGTTGAGTGTCCTGCTCATGGGCTTCTGCTTGACCATAACAAGAGACAGGCTTCTGTCTGGTCCAGCGGAGCTCTTCCAGCGCATTTCGCCTTCTTATGGGGTGCTTCCAAGATGGCCGGCTCCTAGCGCTACCAATCAAAAGCCATTGTCCAGCCGTTCTGTCTTTCACTCCTTAATGGGTTTTCTGTGGCGAGAAAGAAAAAATAAGATGGAAGAATCACAGCAGTGGAAGAAGTAGAAATGGACCGAAATGACCATAAGGCCCTAGATGAGTGTTCAGTTCATGGTGCCCCCTCCTCAATGGTTTGCAACAGAGCCAGGGCAAGCATGGGGTTGGCCTCATCAAACATCTGGCAAGGCCCAGTAGCCAGGATGGCTGAGGGTTTCTGGGAAATATAGTCCAAGAACGTAATATTTCCAGGCTCTGCTCAGAACTCAATCTTGCTGCCAACTCTCCTGACTCCAAGTTCTTCAGCCCTATTGATCTGTGATGTTTAGGGCCGGGCTTTAGCACAGCAGCTTAATCACCAGCTGCAGAAAATCTTGCTAATCAGAAGGTTGACACTTCGAAACCCAGGTCAGGCACTTCCTACTCAAATAAACAGAGACAATGCTTAGATCTCTTTCTTTGGATAGGGAAAAAGTAGGTCCAGAGGGGAAGAATAATGAAGGACTGGAGCTAGGAATGCTGGATATTCAAGGAAGTGCCCAAATCAGTGAATGATTTGGGCCGGACTTTAGCACAGCCGGTTAAGCACCAGCTGCAGAAAATCTTGCAAATCAGAAGGGTGGCAGTTCGAAGCCTGGGTCGGGCACTTCCTAATCAAATAAACAAAAACAATGCTCAGATCTCTTTCTTTGGAAAGGGAAAAAGTAGGCCCAGAGGGGTAGAGCAATGAAGGAATGGACCCAAGAATTCTGGCCATTCAAGGAAATGCGCAAATCAGTGAATGATTTGGGCCAGACTTTAGCACAGCAGGTTAAGCACCAACTGTAGTACATCTTGATAATCGGAAGGGTGGAAATTCGAAGCCCAGGTCAGGCACTTCCTAATCAAATAAACAGAGACAATGCTCCAAGATCTTTCTTTGGATAGGGAAAAAGTAGGCCCAGAGGGGCAGAATAATAGAGGAACGGACCCAGGAATTTTGGGCAGTCAAGGAACGTGCCCAAATCAGTTATTGATTTGGGCCGGGCTTTAGCACAGCAGGTTAAGTGCCAGATGCAGAAAATCTTGCTAATAGGAAAGTTGGCAGTTTGAAGCCCAGCCCAGGCATTTCCTAATTAAATAAACAGAGACAATGCTCTGTTCTCTTTCTTTGGATAGGGAAAGACTAGGCCCAGAGGGACAGTATAATGAAGGAATGAACCGAGGAATTTTGGGCGTTCAAGGAACATGCTCAAATCAGTGAATGATTTGGGCCGGGCTTTAGCACAGCAGGTTAACCGCCAGTTGCAGAAAATCTTGCCAACCAAAGGGTTGACAGTTCAAAGCCGGGTTGGGGTGAGCTCCTGACCTTTAGCCCAGCTTCTGCCTACCTAGCAGTCTTGAAAGCAGTAATGTGAGTAGATAAATAGGTAGTGCTTAAAGCGGTGAGGTATTTAATGCACTCTTAAGGAAAATGGCAGATAAATGCCGGCAATTCGATCAAAGAGGAAGTTTATGAAAAAAGCTCTTTGGCAGGGAAAGTAGAGCGAGTGCACCCCCCATGACTGGAACAGGGCACAGCCTCCAAGGCACCGAAGATAGGAAAAGTCTATATATATACCTATGTACAGTTTTCTGTCTTGTCACTGTATAATGGCATTGAATGTTTGCCGTATATGTGTTCTGTGATCCATTCTGAGAAGGGCAGAATATAAATGTAAATAATTACATGATTTCAGACTAAACTTCTCACTAACCAAGGCAGCGTGCCCAATAGTAAAGCATGATGGGAGACAAAGCCCAAAACATTTTGAAGACCAGAATGTGAAAACTGAGATTGAGCAATCTCAAGAGAGCCTCCTGGCAGCTGACCAGAAAGAAAAGGCTCAAACAGAATTGAAATTGTGGGTTCAACGAGGCAGTCACAGGTTATGTGTCCGCTTTGCTGGGAAATGATTGTGAAACATTTGTTTTTTTATCTTTCTGCAGCTCTGCCATGCCCCAACCCTGAAGCACCATCGAATGGCCACATCTCTCCAGCGCAAACACAATATATTATGAAAGACTCCTACCAACTCCTCTGTGATACGGGCTACGTAGTCTTGGAAGTAGGTAAAACAGTTGTGGCTGCTGTGTTTTTGTTCCAAAAATGTGTGTGTAACTTACAGAACATGTTCCATTGCACTTCAAATTCAGTCTGTTCCATCCTCTACTGTTTATATCTTTTCAAGCAGTGGTTCCCAACCTGTGAATCGTGGAGCAAGAATTAAAATATGGTCCACGGTCTCACTGCTACTACACCATTGCATCAAGAGCGACTAGTCTTGCCAAATTCTCTTATAGTGCCGAGGCTTATTAAATAAGGTTTTAGGTGGGCGAGTAGATGGTGACTGCTGGATGGCATATGTTCTGTATCAGAAACCAGAGCTGATGTGGTCTATCCAATGCAATTTTCTGAATCAGCACCCAAAATAACCAAACCGAATCTAAAGTTGACCAAAAACTGTTTCACAACCCTTTTGCTACTAATGTTGGAAAGTGGTCCCTGGTGAAAGTGTCCCTGGTGAAAGTGGTCCTTGGTCCAAGTGGTCCCTGGTCCAAGTGGTTCCTGATCAAAGTGGTCCCTGTTCAAAGTGGTCCCTGGTCAAAGTCTTCTCTTGTCAAGTGGTCCCTGGTCAAGGTGGTCCCTAGTCAAGAGGCCCCTGGTCAAAGTGGTCCCTGGTCAAGTGGTCCCTGGTCAAAGTGGTCTCTGGTCAAGTGGTCCCTGGTCAATGCTGTCTCTGTTCAAGTGGTCCCTGGTCAAGGTGGTCCCTGGTCAAAGTGTTCTCTTGTCAAGTGGTTCCTGTTCAAGGTGGTCCCTGATCAAAGTGGTCCCTGGTCAAGTGGTCCTTGGTCATAGTGGTCCCTGGTTAAAGTGTTCTCTTGTCAAGTGGTTCCTGGTCAAGGTGGTCCCTGATCAAGAGGTCCCTGGTTAAAATGGTCACTGGTCAAAGTGGTCCCTGGTCAAAGTAGTCCCTGATCAAGTGGTCCCTAGTCAAAAAAGGTTGGGAACCACTGTTTTAAAGTATTCTGTAGGGTATACAGAGAACAGCATTTCAAATTTGGGAGTGGGAGGAAAAACAGAAGCAAAAATTCACAGCAAGAAAACACCAGATTTCACCTCATAATCATTACCAATAGCCAACAACAAACACATTCTCTAACCCTGGTTTCCACACAAGGGAAAACACCCATATGAGATGTTACAGGTATCTTTTTTTCCAAGGAAAAAATGCATGGATGTATTCTTTTCTCTCCATCTCAGAACGAGAAGATTGTGGAATCCTTCACAGCGATATGTCAAAAGGATGGTTCCTGGGACAAGCTAATGGCTCAGTGCACCAGTAGGTCAACAACAAGGGGTTGGGAGAGGGTCTATGGATTTGCAGTAGTCATCTGCATTCAAATCCAACACTTTGGTATCCACAGAATATGTTGTCACAGGAAGGTTTCTTTTGAATTTCCCATTTGCTCAGGAGACTTTTTAAATATGCTTTTCCATTTTGCAGTTGTTGACTGTGGCCCAGCTGTAGATGCAGCAAATGGGACCCTCGTCTACACCACGGGGCCTGATGTTACCACATACCAGGCAGAGATCAAATACACCTGTGAGAGCCCCTACTATGCTCTGAAAGCAGGGCTTTCTGGTAAGAGAAATCGGAGCCTGTCCCTGGTCAAAGTGGTCCCTGGTCAAAGTGGTCTCTGGTTAACTGGTCCCTGGTCAAAGTGGTCCCTGGTCAAATAGTCCCTGGTTAATTGGTTCCTGGTCAAAATGGTCCCTGGTCAAATAGTACCTGGTTAACTGGTCCCAGGTCAAAATGGTCCCTGATAGAAGTGGTCCCTGATCGAAATGGTCCCTGGTTAACTGGTTCCTGGTCAAAATGGTCCCTGGTCAAATAGTCCCTGTTTAACTGGTCCCTGGTCAAAGTAGTCCCTGATCGAAGTGGTCCCTGGTCTAGTGATCCCTGGTCAAAGTGGTCCCTGGTCAAAATGGTCCCTGAACTATCACTTGCTAACCTACAGCCTAGAAGACTTCAAAGTATAAAAACGGGATACTTTCTCTGTGCAACAAGGGAGCTGTAAACAAAAAAGAATGATTGTCACAATGATCCGAGGAGCTCACTATTTCCTGAAAGGTCACTGAAAGTGCTTTGATTTTCATTTAGGCGACTACCAATGTGCCCCTGATGGCTACTGGAGAGATGCCAAGGGAAGGAAAGCTCCTCCTGTCTGTGAACCAGGTAATGTGAGAAGCTGCCACATACAAGGCGCTCAAAAATGTTTGAGGGTTTTGCATGACACTTCAAAAGAGTATATAGACTGACTAGAGTAGTGGTTCCCAACCTGTGGGCAGTAGGAGACTCTGTATTATCCGACATTTTTGTTTATCTGACGTTCTGTCCAGCCGTCAATGTCGGTTAAGCAAGACTCTACTGCAGGATTCCTCAAACTTTTTATACAGAGGGCCAGGTCACAGTCTCTCAAACTGTTGGAGGGCCGGATTATAATTTGAAAAAAACATGAATGAATTCCTATGCACACTGCACATATCTTATCTGTAGTGCAAAAGAAATCCCCTTAAAAACAATAATTAAAATGAAGAACAATTTCAACAAATATAAAATTATTAGTATTTCAATGGGAAGTGTGGGCCTGCTTTTTGGCTGATGAGATAAGATTATTGTTATTGTTGTGCGCTTTCAAGTCGTTTCAGACTTAAGTTGACCCTAAGCAAGGGCCAGGTAAATGACCTTGGAGGGCCGCATCCGGCCCCCAGGCCTTAGTTTGAGGACCCCTGCTCTACTGTATAGTTCCTTCTAATTTCCCACAATATCTTTATAAGAAACCTGTAAAGATTATGTACGAGGGTTGAATGAAAAATAATGCCTCCATCTTCGTAACTCAACGGATGGCAGTACGGGTATGCGCAGGTACTGGCTTGTTCAGTAGACTCTCCTCTACAATTTCATTTTGGCGGGAAGCCTTAGCATTGAACTGTTGTGTTGTTAAAGTGCAAATTGTCAGTCAATGCGACTTAAGCAACGTGCAGTCATCAAATTCTTGACGGCAGAAGGTGTCACCCCAACATCTTTAAACTTACTCGTCTAATGATGCACAGTACCCACATCGACACAATCACCATTAACAGCTTGCATTCTCTGATGGAGTGACACCTTCTGCTGTCCTTTGGAGTGACACCTTCTGCTGTCAAGGGTTCCATACTTCGCACTTTAACATCACAACCGTTCAATGCTAAGGCTTCCCGCCAAAATGGAATTGTAGAGGAGAGTCTACTGAACAAGCCAGTACCTGCCGCACACCAGTACTGCTACCTGTTTAGGAGTTACGAAGGTGGAGGCATTACTTTTCATTCAACCCTTGTAGCAACAAAGCCATCAGACTGAACATTTAAAAGGCAGACAACGAACTAGAAATGAGTCACTCAGATAATAGTTTTAAGTTAAGCCATATTTCGGGCAAAGGTACATATTGGCTCTACAAGAACACAATGGACTTTCCACAATTCTGCCAATATTTGGGTCAGAAAACATGTTTTGGTCACAGATGGGAAGTTAACTCTGTTTGATGGAAGTGATTTCTCAAAAGCCAGAAGCATAAAACAGCCAATATCCAGTTTTAAAATCTCTCTTCATTACAGCCAAAGCAATAAATTTCATTTTGTGTTCAGGGGAAAAATACTCAGTACTTTATGTTTTGCTAGCTGGCGATATATCCAAGTTAAGAGTGTCTTGAATATTTCATCTGTCTTGTTCTGATTTAGAACAAATGCATCTGGACTTTCCCTTCACATTTCCCAAACACAGCTACAGGAACACAGGCAGCTAGCTGCCTTATGCATTAAGCCAGACCATTATTCCATCTATGTTTATGCCAAGGATACAACTGTTTTGGTTCGCTCCTGACACGATAAATAAATAAAAATGCCAAGGGTGAAGTTTTGAGCCTACGGGCGTTTGGACTGCCACTTCCTGATGATCCAGCTGGTATAAACTGGAGCCTTCCTCCAGCCTTGCACGCTCTCCCTTGCCCACACATGAATAGACATTGAGACTGGTGCTCTAGCACATTCACTGGACCAAAAACAGCCCTCCCCTCCAGCCTCGCGTGAGCCTCTCTCCAGCCGCGCACACTCTCCCTTGCCCGCACATGCGCATCATGCTGACATGCACTGATCATGCCTGCTCTTCCACTTGGAGCCTCAGAAACAGCCCTCCCCTCCAGCCTCGAATGAGCCTCCCTCCAGCCTCGCACACTCTCCCTTGCCCGCACATGCGCATCATGCTGACATGCGCCGACCACCCGCTTGGAGCCTCAGAAACAGCCCTCCCCTTGGCTGAGAAGAGAAGTGGAGGAAGGCTTTTGGTGGGAGGATTCACCATCTGTTTCCAAAAAGGAAGAGAAGGACAGGCTGAAAGATCTTCAGCCTTCTCTGCCAAAGGCGTTCCTAAGACCATCAGAAATATATATTTTCTGATTGTTTTTGGTGACCCCTCTGAAACCTCCTAGCGACCCCCCCTTGTGGTCGCGACGCCCAGGTTGAGAACCGCTGATCTAGTAGTTAGACTAGGGGCCCTCACTGAAGGAAGAGATCTTCAGCCTTCTCTGCCAAACGGGTTTCTAAGACCATCAGCAATATGTTTTGTGATTATCTTTGGTGACCCCTCTGAAACCCCCTCACGACCCTCCCACCCAGGGGTCCCAACCCTCAGGTTGAGAAACGCTCAAGTATATCTTAGAAGGCCAAAATCTACCCAACAGTTTTGGATAGGAATCCACCAAGACCTAACAGGAGTTGAACTTTATATAGACAGCTTGCGTTTTAGCAGAGCTACATCACTTCGCCACTGTAGACATCCCATCTCAGAGCTGTACAAGGTGAAATTAAGATGCTTAAGAGAAAATAACCCCCTTTAAAGTCCTTTTATGCTGGGAGACTGTGACTTGCCTAACGTCACCCAACGTTTCCAGTCCTGAGCTCTGGCCTTCAGTCATAGTCCATTGCTCAAACCGTTACACTGTCTCATGATATTATACAGGAAACATTAATTAAAACAGATGCACTGAGATTAGGGAATCCTTGTCTCTCCAAATGTGGGCTCCAGTTCCCTTACTATTGATTTATAGGAGTTAAAAGTCAACATTTCTTGCAAGCCAATGGCATCTGTTAGCTGTTAGGATTTCTGGGAGTTGAAGGCCAAAACATCTGGGGACCCACAGGTTGAGAACCACTTATCTAGATGGTCCTTGAGGGCCCCCTAAGGTCACTATATAGATCTAGATGGTCCTTGAGGGCCTCCTAAGGCCACTATATAGATCTAAATGGTCCTTGAGGGCTTCCTAAGGTCACTATACAGATCTAGATGGTCCTTGAGGGCATCCTAAGGTAACTATATAGATCTAGATCAGTGGTTCTCAATCTGTGGGTCCCAAGGTGTTTTGGCCTGCAACTCCCAGAAATCCCAGCCAGTTGACCAGCTGTAAGGATTTCTGGGAGTTGAAGACCAACACATCTGGGGACCCACAGGCTGAGAACCACTGAGTTAGCATTCATTAGCCTTGATATGCCATTGGCTTGCAAGAAACGTTGACTTTTAACTCCCAGAAGTTAATAGTAAGAGAACTAAATCTAAGACAATCAAGTTTCAATTGTCATATCGAAACCATGACTTATGGATATATTTTTTTTCTCTTGCCAGTTTGTGGAGTCCAATCAGCGAATGCCCTGCAGCGCATATTTGGTGGCAAAAGGGCACGGCCTGGCCAGTTTCCTTGGCAGGTTCTGATCACCGATGCGCAAGGAGCAACAGGCGGCGGAGCTCTCTTACACGACAACTGGATCTTAACAGCTGCCCACGTCCTCAGCAATCCCGCGGACGCATCCTCCCTGACGCTGAAGCTGGGGCTTCTGAACAAGCGTTCTCCCCGTTACCACCCAGCCTGGGCCGAATCCGCTTTTGTCCATTCGGATTTCGCCAACAACGGCATCAACTTTGACAACGACATTGCTCTGATCAAACTGAGACACAAAGTCCCTATCAATGCCAACATCACCCCGATTTGTTTGCCAGGAAGAAGCGGCAGATTCCACGTGAACACGAGCGACATCGGAGTGGTGGCTGGGTGGGGGAAAACCGAGAAAAGGAGGCAGTCCCCTTTATTGTTGTATACTGAGCTACCCGTTGTGGATCCCAAGAAGTGTAAAGCTGCCTACGCCGGCCATAGCTTGGAGGGGAAGCCACTAGTCCTGACGGAAAATATGCTTTGTGCCGGGTACGACCACGGGGGAAACGATTCTTGCAGCGGAGATAGCGGTGGCTCATTAGTATTTTTTGATTTGGACACCAGGACGTGGTTTGTTGGTGGTGTTGTGTCCTGGGGGTTGGAGTGCGGGGCTGCAGGGCTGTATGGCGTGTACACTAAAGTCATGAATTACATCTCATGGATTGAAGACACCATTGCACGCAATTCTTAGGAATGATGTTATTCCAATAAAATAATACATTCCTCTATTGCAACGCAAGTAATCGGAATGCCACAATTCTACATATACCCCATATCCCTGAAAAAGTCACATTTGTTGTTGAACAAAAGAAAGGAAATTTATTATATACTGTACAGTAGTTGTCAGTATATAACAAATATAGTGGCCCTCACACACAGGGCCACAAAAAATAAGGGCTCTCAAGTACCTGGCTACTTTGCTAGGTCTTACTTTGGGGGGGGGGGGGTTAGCAATTCAGCAAAATCTTTACTAGGTCTTATTTTCAGGGGATGTCTTATTTTTGGGAAAACAGGGTACCTACTTGGGAACAGGTCCTAGCAAGATTCTGGAAAAGATCATTACCAAAGTGGTCTGCAAACACTTAGAAACGAAATATTAGTCAAAAACAAGTCATACCAGACAAATCTGATTTCTTTTTTGATATAGTTACAAACTGGGTTGATGCAGGGAATGCAGTGGATGGAGAGTATCAGTCAGCAGTCTTTCTGATGTGAGAGAATTGGATGTCTGCAAGGACGTTGCCTATCGGGACACTTGGATGTGTTATTATACTGTGTGAGGCTTTTCTCATGTCCCTGCATGGGAAGCTGGGTCTAAAAAACAATAGCTCACCCTGCTCCCTGGATTTGAACCACCGACCTTTCGGTCAGAAATCCTTCTGTTGTGTGAGAATTGGCTGTCTGCAAGGATGTTGCCCAGGGGACACACGGATGTGTTACCATCCAGTGGGAGGCTTCTCTCATGTCCCTGAATGAGAAGCTGGGGCTGATAGACGGGAGCTCACTCTGCATCCTGCATTCGAACCGCTGATCTTTCGGTCAGCAGTCCTTCTGGAGTGAAAGAATTGGCTGTCAGCAGGGACGTTGCCCAGGGGACACCCGGATGTTACCATCCTGTGGGAGGCATTTCTCACGTCCCCAATTGAGAAGCTGGGGCAGACAGATGAGAGCTCACGCCGTCTCCCGGATTTGAACCGCTGACTTTTTGGTCAGCCGTTCTGGTGTGAGCGAATTGGCTGTCTGCAAGGACGTTGCTCATGTCCCTGAATGAGAAGCTGGGGCTGATTGATGGGAGCTCACTCCGCATCCTGGATTCAAACCACTGACCTTTCTGTCAGCAGTCCTTCTGGTGTGAGAGAATTGCCTGTCTGCAAGGACATTGCCCAGGAAATGCCCGGATGTGTGAGGCTTTTCTTATGTCCCTGCATGGGAAGCTGGGGCTGGCAGAGAAGAGCAAACTCCACTCCCCAGATCTGAACCACCGATCTTTCGGTCAGCAGTCCTTCTGGTGTGAGAGAATTGGCTGTCTGTAAGGATGTTGCCTAGGGGATGCCCGGAAGGGTTACCATCCTGTGGGAGGCATCTCTCATGTCCCAGTCTGAGAAGCTGGGACTGACAGGCGAGAGCTCACCCCGTCTTGCAGGTTCGAACTGCCAACCTTCAGGTCAGCAGTTCAGCCGGCACAAGGGTTTAACCCATTGTGCCACCGCGGCTCCCTTTTGATCTTATAAGGAGTCTGTATTGACAGTCAGAAACAGCTATACAAAGAAAGCACAGATGCATACAACTCAGAAGAACAGGACAAGACCCCCCGTGAAGCGCTGTTCAGTCAGCTGCAACATTATATTTGCAACTGCTGAGACCAATGTGCTCTGGGATTCAATTCACACCCACACAAATTTGGACTGTAAGAGGGAAATCGTCAACATTACATCTATTTGAGTAGCAAAGCCTCCGTAATTAAGAGACGCTCAGCAGGTAACCAAAACACACAACACATTTGCTCACACAGGGCCTCGGTTAAATTACTATGCTGTTTATTACTAAATGAAGCTCATTAGCAAGGCGATCCTTCTAAGAGTGGCAAACTGACTGTGTTCCTTATTCATCCACTTTAAATTGCATTAGGGCCATCGATGTGGGCCTACGGAAAGCTCAAGCAAAACACGACTCCAGACAATCAAGTTATGACAATGCCTTTTATTAGCTCACTTTAAACACTAATGAAGGAAATGCGAGATATGAATAATGTTTGAAAACATTTCTAATATACTCAAGGATGCGAGGAAGGGGAGCATCGAACCCTTCACATACTTTACAGCATTAAGGTACCCCGTTTCCCCTTCTGCTGAGAGTTGGTCTTACACTTTAAGAAGGGAAAATAAATCAAAACAAGCTGAAAGAAAGTATTGAAACCATGCTGGTGATGTATACAACTTACCCTCGTGATCCTTCCTGGGGTGGCTTGGGAGATCCGAGAATACCATATTAAGTGTTACTCAGAAGCAGTAGCGGGGATTAGTGCAAATGCTAAAATGCAAAATTCAGATGGTATACAGTTTGGCAATGGATCTGATTTAGGTGCAGAAAAGGCTAAGCAATTGATTAACCAATAGTCCTCCTCAGGAAAACACAGAGATTTGTTTTACACTGAGAGCCAGGATTCGGGGTGTCAAGACTGGATGTGAGCAGTGAACACCAAGCCAAGGTAAGCACACAATAATACACTGCAAGCTCCTCGTTATTTGGCAGGGACATAATTTACCGTACATAGGCGAGTATAAGCCAAGGCACCTAAATTTACCACAAAAACAGGGAAAACGTATCCACTCGAGTATAAACCGAGGGGGGGGGGGGAATGACTCTAGCACAGTGGTTCTCAACCTGGGGTCCCCAGATGTTTTTGGCCTTTAACTCCCAGAAATCCTAACAGCTGGTAAACTGGCAGGGATTTCTGGGAGTTGTAGGCCAAAAACATCTGGGGACCCCAGGTTGAGAACCACTGCTCTAGCAGTTTAACAATTACTGTATATACATGAATCTAAGACTAGTTTTCCAGCCCTTTGTTTAGGTTGAAAAAGTCCCCCCAGATTATACTTGAGCAAGAGTCTTGGTGGGTAGGCATGGGGCTGAAATAAGCCCTTCTTTCAGCCTCACACTTTCCGACCAGGACCCTCAGTTCTCTGCAGAGAAATTCAGCTGGGCCGCTGTGTCGAGGGGAGGGGAGTTTGTGCCTTCCTCTCCTCATCGCATGCGCCTTCTCCCCCTCGCACCAGCCTTCCTCTCCTCGCTCACCTTCCTCTCTCCTCACACGCGCCTTCCTCTCCCCTCTCGTTTTCTCCCCCTCGCACCAGCCTTCCTCTCCTCGCTCACCTTCCTCTCTTCCCACCACGCGCACCTTCCTCTCCTCCTTGCATGCGCCTTCCTCTCCTCTGCACGCGCCTTCTCTCCTCCTTGCACGCCTTCCTCTCCTTGCAGGACCCTTCCTCTCCTCCTTGCAAACACCTTCCTCTCCTCGCACACGCCTTCCTCTCCTCCTTGCATGTGCCTTCCTCTCCTCGCTCACCTTCATCTCCTCCTCGCACTGCCTTCCTCTCCTCCTTGCACGCCTTCCTCTCCTCCTCGCACGCCTTTCTCTCCGCGCCTTCCTCTCCTCCTTGCACACTTCCTCTCCTCCTCGCTTGCCTTCCTCTCCTCCTTGCACGCACCTTCATCTCCTCGCACACGCCTTCCTCTCCTCCTCGGTCACCTTGCTCAGCTCCCTGCACGCACCTTCTTCTCCCCCTCACACGCGCCTTCCTCTCCTGCTCACACTCGCCTTCCTCTCCTCCTCACTTTTCTCTCCTCCTAGCACACGACTTCCTCTCCCCACATATGCCTTTCTTTTCTATCCTCTCAGCACAGTGACTCAGCTGGGTTGCTATGCCAAGAGAAGAGGAGAGGCCACACACCTTCCTCTCCTCAGTCCTTCCAACTTCCCCCTTTCCAGCACCCCTTTCCCACCCCAGTCTTCCCAGTCTTTACTATCCCCAGCTCCTCTCTCCAACTTTTCCAGCTCGCTTTCCATTCCAGCCTTTCCCAGGTTCCAGCCACTTTCCCATTTCAGTCTTGTATCTTTTCCCATTGCAGTTTCCCACTTTCCCAGCCCCTTTCTCATCCATCTTTCCCAGTCCCCTTCCACACCTCAATCTTTCCCATTTCTCCATTTGCCCCCTTCCCACTCCAATCTTTCCACCTTTCCAGTCCCCTTTTGCACCCCAATTTTGCTCATTTTGCAATCTTTCTTTTTTTTCACCCCAACCTTTTCCAGCTGCTCCTCTTTCCCACCCCAATTTCCCCACCTTTTCCCAACCCCCCTTCACACTCAAGTTTATAAACTAGTCTTTCCCACTTTTCCACCCCCCTTTCCATCCCAACATTTCCTAGTTTCCAGCCCCCATTTCACACCTCAGTTGTTTCCCCTTCCCACTCCAATCCGTTCTACTTTTCCAGCTACCCCCTTTCCACCTCATTTCTCCACTTTTTCAACCACCCCACCCCAGTTTATTTTTGAAATTTACCAGTAACTGCTGCATTTCCCACCCTCGGCTTATACTTAAGTCAATAAGTTTTCCCAGGCTGTTGTAGTAAAATTAGGTGCCTTGGCTTATACTCGCGTATATACGGTATTTAGTTACTAAATCCATGATGTTGTTGGCCCTGATCATAAACACAGGAAAACTTAACACTTTGTTTGGCTTTGGTTGTTTCCCGTACCTAAATGAGCTGGGCCAGCCACTCAGTGTGCCACCCTTTCGGTAATCTAGAGAATGCAATAAAGAGGTTCTATAACGGAGGCCTAAAGAAAGTATGGGCTCTCCACCTCCTACGACCCTTCCACACAGCCCTATATCCCAGAATATCAAAGCAGAAAATCTCACAATATCTGCTTTGAACTGGGGGCCCTTCTACACAGCCTTTTATCCCAGGATATCAAGACAAAAAATCCCATATTATCTGAATGCGGACTCAAGATAACCCAGTTCAAAGCAGATATTGTGGGATTTTATTTATTTATCATTTTATTTAAAACATTTATATTCCGCCCTTCTCACCCCGAAGGGGACTCAGGGCAGAGCACAGCATATATACGGCAAACATTCAATGCCGGGACTCCAATTCTTATATACACACATAAACATTAAAAACATTTATCAAAATATTAAAATACACCACTTAAAACCGTCCTAGTCATCCAAGCCAAATCTAATAATATATTGTATATACAAATAATATTTATATTATAATGTAATACAATATAATACTAATAATATAATTACATATTTTATATTACATGTAATATTACTTATATTAGAATAAAATGGTGTAGTACAATATAGTAATATATAATACTGAAATTGTACTATGCTAATAATTTAATATGTTGTATGTATATATATCCTGTAAGCCGCTCTGAGTCTCCTTCAGGGTGAGAAGGGCGGCATATAAATGTCGCAAATAAATAAATAAATATTGGTCCAGATCCATCATTGCTTGAGTTCACAGCGCTCTCTGGACGCAGGTGAACGACAACTGGGCTGTTGTAGGTTTTTCGGACTGTATGGCCATGTTCTAGAAGCATTCTCTCCTGATGTTTCTGCCTTGATATCCTGGGATATAAAGCTATGTGAAAGGGCCCTGAGTTATCTTAGTCCACATTCAGATAATATGGGATTTTCTGCCTTGATATCCTGAGATATAGAGCTGTGTGGAAGGACCTGGGTTATCTTAGCCCACACTCAGAAAATGTGGGATTTTCTGCCTTGATATTTTGGAATATAGGGCTGTGCGGAACGGCCCCTAGCACCCTAAATGGAATTGTTCAACAGAAAAGGGGTACCTCATTTGGCAGAGCCAGATTTCAGATGTGTGTTGCACAAAAACGCTATGAAGATGGGACTGGATCTGAGCTATTGAGTGTCAAGTACACCAATGAAAGAGGCAAACTAAAAAACAAAGACATGTTTACAGTTTTCACCCAATTAAAAAATGCATTTTCCCCAAAAACAGCTATGAACTCATTGCATTTGGGGGGGGGGGGGCTTTCAAACACACACAAATATTACTTAAATCGGTTTTATTTAAGAATTTCCTACATTGACAAATCTTATAAAAAGCATCCAAACACAGAACTGCAGCAAACAGCATTCATATGGATATCTTACAGACAGAGAAACTTCCACCCACAAAAGGGAACCTCTGAGCTCAGGAGAGTGCTTTGCCACAAAAGGTCCGCAAAACGCCCCGCCGAGCCAGACGCCCCCGTCCAAAAAGCCCCACCGTCAAGTCACGTTACCACACTTACAGGATCATTGAACAGAAAGGAACACACACCATACAGCATTCACAGCAGAGTTGACATAAAGGAGGGAAAAAAAAGTATTACAGATATTCTTGTCACTTAACACATTCAACTAATTGGTTAACTAAGTAAAAAAAACACCCCCTCCCACTACGTCCCCCTTTAAGTTCTTCCAGATTGGGATGTCCGTCTGAACGCCAAGAGAAAAAACAAAAAAACACTCGTACGTCCGCTCCCATTGCGCTCCGCACACTCTCTCACCAAAAAAGCCACGGGATCGAGGGACATCGTGCCAAGGGGGGACCAAAAAAAATATTATATATCCCATAATGCACCACCAAGTCTCTCTCTGCATGCGCCTCCTTCCTTTTTTTTTCTTTCTTTCTTTCTCGCACATACCAAGCCCTCTCATTCCTCGGCAACACCAATCGAAGCCCACACAAAGGTCTCCAAAAAGTTCAGACAAGCCTTTCCGGTTTCCATCTCACAAGCCTTGCGTTCATAGCGTTGAGTACGACTCTCCATGAAATAAAAAAAAAAGAGTAGCGGATAAAAAATGGAACACCCACCGTCTTAAGACGTAGTAGAATGTGCAGCGTGATGGAAGGAGTCTTGGATGAGGAAAGCATGGAGTATTTCCTAAGGCAGGCTTTTTGTTTTTTTGAGTGTGTTTTGATTTTTTTTTTGACGTGCTTCTTCCAAACACATGTTTTGTTTTTGGAAATGAGATGAGCGGCAAGGATTTAAATGAGGTCTTCATACCGTACTTTTTTTTAGTATGAGGAGGGGAAGACAGTGTTAAAAGGAAAAGAAGCCGACACCAACATTGCATTCTCCGCACGGGACATTTTGGGGGGAAAACAGGGAGGGAGAGAAAGAGAGAGAGAGAAAAATTCTTATGGCGGGGGGATCAAATTAATTTTCCAAAAAAAAAAAAAAAGGATGCAGTTTCTGAAAAATGGCTTGCATTTTCGAAACATGCAAAATGAGGAATTTTAAGATATTTTTCTCTTTTTTCTTTTTACAAATCCCTAATCCAAATTGCAGCGCGTCGTTTACCAAATCAGGCAAAACAGTTCACTTCCAAACCACTCCCATATTCCTAACTCATGGTAAGAAAAAAACTATAAAATTCCATTTAATCTTTTCTCTTTTTTTTCCTTTCCTCTTCCTTACAAAAGAAAAAAAAGTGTCAAAAATACTGTCGAAATATACTACACGCTGAACAAATTGATTTGGATCCCCCTCCCGACTCCTGTCTGTTTGTTTATTTATTCTTTTTTTAGTATATGCATGTTATTATATACTTACCAGGAGCTCTAAGGGGAAGGGCGGGAATCTGATTTCCCACCACAGAATCAGTATTACGTTGTTTACATGCCCCAGCCAGACGATTTGGAATCCATGCTTGAGCCAAAACCGCCATTAAACCCGCTGCCAGAGCCTGTGTTTGATGAGCCCCACCCGATCGCTGCGCCCGAGTTGGAGCTCCCATAGGAATTGCTCCCTGAACTGAACCCCTGGTTCTGCTCTCTCTGCATATTGCCTTGGGGTTGGTTGTTCCCGGAAGGCCCAGACTGGTTTTGCTGGCTGGCTAGCATGCCCATCATCCCCCAGCTGCTCTGGAGCGCTGCCTGAGCCGCCGCCATCATGGCGGGGTTGATGCTAAACGTCCCAAAGTTCATTCCGCCCCCCATGTTACTCCCCTGGTTGTTTCCCAGCCCTCCTCCGCCTCCACCTCCGCCCCGATTAGGAAATCCCCCCTGATTCCCAAAGCCTCCTGGATTACCACCAAATCTTCCACCTCTTTCTAGTTGTCTACTGTTACTATGCTTAGGTTCAGCATTGGATATATGGACGCTGATTCCTTTTATGATCAAGTCCTCGCCACAAAGGGACTGGGCAACCTGTAAGAAAAAAGGAAGGGAGACTGAGTAACTTTGTAAACAGGAGACAGAGAAGAGAATTATATGTGCAAAGAACTTTAAAACAATGTTTCTCAACCTGGGGGGTGAGTGGGGTCACCAAAGACCATCAGAAAACACAATATTTTCTGTTAGTTATGGGGGTTCTTGGTGGGAAGTTTGGCCCAATTCTATCATTGGTAGAGTTCAGAACCCTCATTATTATTATTATTATTATTATTATTATTATTATTATTATTATTCTACATTTATACCCCACTCTTCTCACCCCAGTGGGGGACTCAGGGTGGCTTACAATCCATGGCATACAATGCCGCATTACACATATAATAATAAACATAACATATCAATTTAAACATACAATAATAAACATGAGATAATTCGAGTATAAATACAATAACAAGCTTAGAAGTAATTCAAATAGAAATACAATAAAAAAGCTTAAAAGTAAACATACAATAATTCATATATAAATACAAAAAAGAGCTTAAAAGTAAACATTGAATCCCAACCAAAGTGAGCCGATGGAAAAAGTGGTCTGTAGATGAACTATAAATCCCAGCAACTTCAACTCCCAAATGTCAAGGTCTATTTTCCCCAAACTCCACCAGTGTTCACATTTGGGCATATTGAGTATTCGTGCCAAGTTTGGTCGAGAGCCATCATTGTTGAAGTCCACAGTTCTTTTAAATGTAAGTGAACTACAACTCCAAAACTCAAGGTCACCAAAACTCAAGTCAATGCCTATGAAAACCAGTATTTTCTGTTGGTCATAGGAGCTCGGTGTGCCAAGTTTGGTTCCATTCCATCGTTGGTGGAGTTCAGAATGCTCTTTGATTGTAGGTGAATTATAAATCCCAGCAACTACAACTCCCAAATGTCAAGTCTATTTTCCCCAAACTCCACCAATGGGGACTCAGAGTGGCTTACATGAGGCCAAGCCCAAACAACAATTACAGTAAGGAGAAAACGAATGCAAACCAAAAACGCGAACAATAGAAACAGCAACGAAAATATTTACATTACAATTCATAACAGAATCAAAATTACAGTTATGAAGTAGCAATGGAAATAGTTAGATTACGATTCATAATAGTAGCAAAATTACAGCAAAGTAATGTTACGGTTGGGGGTCACCACAACATGAGGGACTGTATTAAGGGGTTGCGGCATTAGGAAGGTTGAGAAACACTGCTTTAAAACAACAGCAACTATTTAGTCTACAGGGCTTAATTTGGAGAACACAATAACGACCTCCCAAGTAATATTGTTCCCCTTGCAGTAATGGGGAGTTTGCTTATCCTAAAAATTGGAGCGACGGAATGATTTTCATTTCGAAAGCACTATACCTCATACTGTTCCTGCTTTATACAAGCGGCCATTTGGTCCCTTTAGAAACTCACTGTCTTACATAAGATGCAGTTAACATTTCTAAGCTTCAGTAACAAAGGGGGTTGTACCGCTTCGTGACATCCGAATGGATGGTACGAAACGGAAACACGAAATAAATGGATAACACTAATACCGGACCCATGACTAATCTCAACTGCAATTAATACAGCTCCTTGCTCAACTAGGTTACTATGATGCAGAGATTTTGTAAACAAACCATTGCTTGGCAGCCCAGGAGTAAAACAAAACAAGGTTCTGGATCCAGAGAACTAGCTTTCCCTAACTTAACGTATATACTCAAAGATAAGCCCAGTTTTCTCGGCTCATCATGGGGTCAAGCCAGTCAGTGGAGCCTGGAGACCATTGCTTGCAATATATGATATACTAGCCATCCCTTCCAGGCGTTGCTGTGGCCCAGTCTGTGTATATGTGTTTTGTGTGGTTATATACTGTATATACTCGAGTATAAGCCTAGTTTCAGCCCCTTTTTTAGGCTGAAAAAGCTCCCCTTGGCTTATACTCGAGTCAAGGTTATTTATTATTTTACTCTGTTATTAGTATTATTTTTATTTCATGTATTATTTTACTCTTTATTATTATTACATTTACAGTATTTTACCCTATTATTATTACATTTATTATTTTACACTATTTAGGATTATTATTACATTTATTATTTTACTTTATTATTATTAGAATCATAGAATCATAGAGTTGGAAGAGACCTCCTGGGCCATCCAGTCCAACCCCATTCTGCCAAGAAGCAGGAATATTGCATTCCAATCACCCCTGACAGATGGCCATCCAGCCTCTGTTTAAAAGCTTCCAAAGAAGGAGCCTCCACCACACTCCGGGGCAGAGAGTTCCACTGCTGAACAGCTCTCACAGTCAGGAAGTTCTTCCTCATGTTCAGATGGAATCTCCTTTCTTGTAGTTTGAAGCCATTGTTCCGCATCCTAGTCTCCAAGGAAGCAGAAAACAAGCTTGCTCCCTCCTCCCTGTGGCTTCCTCTCACATATTTATACATGGCTATCTATCTCCTCTTATTATATTTATTATTCTACTCTATTATTACTGTTATTATTGCATTTCCATTATTTTACTTTATTATTATTATTATATTTATTATTTTACTCTCTTTATTATTGTTGGAAGGATACATAAGTACATTTACATTGAAGATATGTAATGATTTAATCAGAGTTGGGCAGTCTTATCTCAAATTACAGTTTTATGTAAATATTAAAAACATTTCACCTCCTGATGCCTCAATTAATGTAATTTTATTAGTATCTATTTTTATTTTGAAATTTACCTGTAGTGGCTGCATTTCCCACCCTCGGCTTATGCTCGAGTCAATATGTTTTCCCAATTTTTTGTGGTAAAATTGAGTGCTTCGGCTTATATTCAGGTCGGCTTATACTCGAGTATATACAGTATGTGGCTTTGCACATGTAGTTTTTGGTTTTTTTGGCTTTTAAGTCCCTTCTGCTGTGTTTTTTCAGTTTTTATGAGTGATGGTCACTCATTGGCCTGATAGGTGTCTTGTGTCCAAATTTTGTGTCAATTCGCCCAGTGGTTTTTGACTTATGCTAATCCTACAAATGAACGTTACATTTTTATTTATATAGACTAGCTGTACCCACCACGCGTTGCTGTGACCAACCTTCCCTCTTTCTCTCCTTCCTTCACTTCCTTTTTCCTTCCCGTCTTTCCTTCTCTTCTTTCCTTCCTTCCCCCTTTTCTTTCTCTTCTGCCGTCTCTCTTTTCTTCCTTCTCTCTTTCCTTCCCTCCCTCTTTCTCTACATCTTCCCCCCTTCCTTCCCTCCCTCTTTCCTTCCTTCTCTTTTTTCTTTCCCTTTTCCTTTCTCTCCTTTCTTCCTTCTCTACCCTTTCTTTCCTTCCTTCCTTCTCTCTTTGCTTCCATTTTCCTTTCTTTGTTTCTTTCTTTCTTTACCCCCCTTCCGTCCCTCTTTCTTTCCTTTTTTCTGTATTGTCATTTAGATTTTCATCATTTAGCTTTTGGGGGCTTTTTCAATCCCTTCTGCTGTTTTTCAGTGTTTTTATGAGTGAAGGACATACATTGGGTTGTTAGGTGTCTTGTGTCCAAATTTGGTGCCAATTCCCCCAGTGGTTTTTGAGTTCTGTTAATCCCACAAACGAACATTACATTTTTATTTATATAGATTTCTCTCTCATCTTCCCCTCCCTGAAGAGTGTGTTTTCTTTTCCAAGCAAAAGGGAGACAAGGAGAGAAAGGAGATGTATTTCATGTCCTTGTTTGTATGGCTCTCTTTCAAACCCACCCAATTTCCTGGCTTTTGTTTTGTGTGTATCTACATGTATTAATGTATTTATACGGCAATTCCCCTGAGCCTCCTTTCAACACTCAATGCCCCATAAGGGCCGAGCAAACATCCTTCAGCAATCTGTTTATTGGCTAATAACATGTCTGGATTTATTTACCAGGCTTGATATATGATTTATATCGTGGCATTTGCCCTATTGTTTTTATCATTCTTGGGCTTCCCTCACTTACATATTTTTATTCCTATCTCACCCAGGGTTTTCTTATTTTATTATCATTTTATTATTTTATCATTTTGGCCTTCCCATCCTGTTTGATTTTATTTTGTGTGAAGTTGCTTTATTATTTTACTTTGCTATTGTGATTATTTTCTGATGTAATTTTTGTTTTCTGCATTCCATTGTGTTGTATTGCATTTTTGGGCTTGGCCTCATGTTAGCCGCCCCGATTCCCCATTGGGGAGATGGTGACGGGGCATAAATAAAGATTATTATTATTATTATGAAACATAGAGAAAAACTTCTCCCTGCCCACTTTCCACAAGCCATGCACACGCAATGAGAAATTATTCACAAACAGGGGAAATATCCAGGGCATTTTGGACAGATACCTGATCATCAGCAAATGTCACAAAGGCAAAAGCTCTGAAGGGTTTGGGAATGAAGACATCGACCACTTCTCCATACTGCGAAAAAAACTGACGGAGCTCGTCTGCCGTCATGTCATCGGTGCATCGCCCAACAAACACCTTCCTGCTACGCAAAGGTTCGTCTGGACTTTGCTGGTACCAATGCAGAACAAAAGATGTATGTTAATACGAAGCTCCTAAAGGTAACATTAAGTCTAGTCGCGTCTGCCTCTGGGACTCATCTCCATTTCTAAGCTGAAGAGCCGCCGTTGTCCATAGACACCTCCAAGGTCATGTGGCCAGCATGACTGCATGGAACACCGTTACTTTACCACCGAAGTGGTACCTATTGATCTACTCACATTCATATGTTTGCAAACTGCTAGGTTGGCAGAAGCTGGGGCTAACAGTGGGAGCTCACCTTGCTCTCCACAAACTACTGACCTTTCGGCAAGTTTAGCAGCTCAGCGGTTTAACCCGAGCACCACCAGGGGCTCCTACTTTGTAATAACCCACACACCGAAGCCAAAGTTAGACATAGGAATATATAACATAATTAATAGGTAGGAAATAAGATTTCAAAACTAAGCAGGTGGTGACTAACTACAGAAATCATATACCAGTCCTGGAATTGTGCCGTCTAAAGTTTAAGGTCGGTAAAGGTTTTCCCCTGGAGGGTTGGTGCTCACCTCCATTTCTAAGCCAAAGAGCTGGCGTTGTCCGTAGACTCCTCCAAGGTCATGTGGCTGGCATGACTGCATGGAGTGCCGTCACCTTTAAGGTATTTTGTCTCCTGCCTATGTAATCAATTGGGAGCCCCTGCTGCTCTGGTCAGTGAAGAGAGAGGGGGGCAGAAGACAGTTCCATAGTCTCCTGTGCTTTATTAATAATATAATATAACATTAAAACATATATTTATAATATTATAATGTAATATTACTAATAATATAATGGTATAGTACAATGTGGTAATATATAATACTGATATTGTACTATGCTCATAATATAATATATTTTATGTATATATATATATTGTAAGTCGCTCTGAGTCACCTTCGCGGTGAGAAGGGTGGCATAGAAATGTTGTAAATAAAATAAAATTAAAAAAAATTTTTGGTTGAATTCATATAGACCAGGGATTCTCAAACTACGGCCCACGGGCCGAATACAGCCCTCCAAGGTCATTTACCCGGCCCTCGCTCAGGGTCAACCTAAGTCTGAAGACTTGAAAGCACACAACAACAACAACAACAACAACAACAACAACAACAATCCTATCTCATCAGCCAAAAGCAGTCCCACACTTCCCAATGAAATACTAATAAGTTTATATTAGTTAAAATTGTTCATTTTAATTATTGTATTGTTCTAAAGTGTTTTTTGCACTACAAATAAGATGCGTGCACTGTGCATAGGAATGCATTCATTTTTTTTCAAATTATAATCCAGCCCTCCAACAGTTTGAGGCCTTCTGTTTAAAAAGTTTGTGGACCCCTGATAGAGACATTTCAATCAGAGCTCCACGAGGCATTAGGATCTAATGTCAGCACAGGACTTTGGATCACAAACCAATGTATTTCCAACTGCAGATAATCTAATTTTTGGAACACTACATAACTAGAGTGACATATTTAAGGAGCGGAGGGAAAGCCATATAAAGTACCTTAGAATTTGGGAGTTTGCAGTCACACCATCTTCCGTCTATCATGTGGCGCTGAGACATGACTTTCACCTGGGTTTCATAGTCTGTGAATCTTACAAAACCAAAGCCCTTTGAGTGGCCAGTTTTGATGTCTTTCTTTACCTAGGATTGCAAGAAGGTAAATGAAATTATGTAATGGGACTCCATACTAATGGTCCATACTTGAATTAAAGTGCACTAGTATTCAAGTGTTCGGATGATGTTCTCATCACACTTTGCATCTTCTAGCAAACTGTTGCTGCTTAGAGACCAACTCCCATCAAACGTCACCTATCAAGAGCCATTGCATCTAACTAATAGAAGGGAAAGTATTTCTTTGTATTACAGGGAGGCTAATAGTTTGGTGATTATTTCAGTAAGGATATTAAGGACGCAAACTGTGCATGTTTAAAGAAGCTATCATCAACATCCAACAAATGCTGCTTGAATGTCTGGCTAAATATAATATATTGTATATACATATAATATTTATAATATAATGTAACACAATACTAATAATATATTGTAATTATATATTTTATATTACATGTAATATTACTAATAATCTATATAAATAAAAATGTAATGTTTGTTTGTGGGATTAACATAACTCAAAAACCACTGGACAAATTGACACCAAATTTGGACACAATATGCGTATCAGGCCAATGAGTGACCATCAGTCATAAAAACACTGACAAACACAGCAGAAGAGACTTAAAAAGCCAAAAAATAAAAATTACATTACAACGCATGTAATAAATAAATAAATAAATGTGCAAAATCACTCACACACACACGCAAACACACATATACATAAATATACACACACACACACACAAAGAACATACACACAGATTGGGCCACAGCAACGCGTGGCAGGGGGCAGCTAGTACTACAATATAATGGTATAGTACAATATAGAATAAAATAAAATAATACTGATATTGTACTATGCTAATAATTTAATATATTGTATGTATATATATCTTGTAAGCTGCTCTGACTCCCCTTCGGGGTGAGAAGGGTGGCATAGAAATGTCGTAAATAAAGAAATAAATAAATCCCTGGAAGGAATATTTATTTCTTTATTTATGACATTTATATGGCGCCCTTCTCACCCCAAAGGGGACTCAGAGCAGCTTACAAGATATATATATATACATACAATATATTATATTATTAGTGGCTTACAAGTAAAATGTAAATATATTATATTATTACCATAGCACAATATTAATATTATATATTACTATATTGTACTATAATATTATACTGTAATATAATTAGTAATATTACATGTAATATAAAATATATAATTATAATATATTAGTATTATTATTATTCTTTCCTCCAAATTAAATGCAAACCAAAGTACGAGGAGACCAATTTCAGTGCTTCATGCCCAGCAATAACATCCAAAGTTTTATGAAGGAGATTAGAATCATAAACACAAAAAGATAAATACCTGCACCATGAGAACCTCTCCAAATGTGCTGAAATATTCCTTCAAATCCTGTTCTGTTGTCTTCCAGGGAAGGCCCAATACAATCAGATCAGAGGTTTTCTGCACGGCTCGTTTCACTTTGACAGCCGAGGAGGCATCTGTCTCATCCATTTTCCTCTTGTTGTCTAAAGGGATATGACCATCAGCACGGAGAAGTCAATGCTACTTTGCTCCCAACATCTGGTTAAGGCATTTTTATTCAAACAAGGATTTTCTGTACTAAATTATCAGCAACTGAAATTTCTAGGAAGACATGTCACACTGGAGTCTAACCAGTATAACTTGGTCCAAGGACTCATGCCCCCCACGTAACCATTTTTTGAATATCATTTAGAGGGTTTTGGGAAGTGGGGTTAAACGTAATGTAAAATGCTCGATTACCATATATACTTAAGTATAAGCTGGGTTTTTCAGCCCTTTTGAGGCTGAAAAAGCCCCCTTGGCTTATACTCAAGTCAGTTATTTATTACTTTACTCTGTCATTATTTTTATTCCATTTATTATTTTAGTGTATTTAATATTATTATATTTACAATATTTTTATTATTACTATTTTATTACATGCATTATCTTACCCTATTTATTATTATTCCATTTATTATTTTTCTCTATTATTGTTATTATTCCATTTATTATTTTACTCCATTATATTTATTTTTCTCTATTATTGTTATTCCATTTCCATTATTTTACTCTATTATTAGATTTATTATTTCACTCTATTACTGTTATTCCGTTTCCATTATTTTATTATTATTCCATTTATTATTTTACTCTCTATTATTATTGGAAGGATACTTAAGGACATTTACATTGAAAAAGGTTAGGATAATGGCTTAATCAGAGTTGGGTAGTCTTATCTTAAATTACAGTTTATGTAAATATTCAAAAACATTTAACCTACTGATACCTCAATTAATGTAATTTTATAAAAATATAATAATAATACCATATAAGATTTCTCTCACTTCCTGTTGTCTCACTCCTGTTCTTAACTAGGCGTTGTTTAGTAAGTCAGGTGTTTGTAACTCGGGGACCAACTGTACAGGTTTTTGGATCTATCAACTAACTGACAGGAAACCTCTGATCACACACCTTTGGGATAATTCACAACGTAGACGAGATTTCCCCAGCCATTATCCGGGGCGTGCAGAATGCCTTCCACCAACCGGACTCCTCTCATACACTGTGACACGGGGTTCCTGTACCGCAAGCCACACGCCCCGGGAAACTGAGCCGTGACGGTGGAGAGAAGCACCGTCCCATCATCCTCAGACGGGATCTCGATGGGCTCCTCACTCTCGTCTTCCGTCACCCGGATGTACTCCGACATCTCCGCCGTGATGGTGCTTCCAGATGTGAAAGATGAAAAGATGCAGTTAATCATCATCATAATTATGATTACTTATATCCCGCCTTCTCTCGCCACACGGAGGCTCAAAGCAGCTCAAAATTAAAAGTATTACAATATAACTTAAAATAAACAAATATTAAAACAGTATTACACATAATTAATATTTAAAACAATTCAAGTTAAAACCATAAATCATATAGAACCACAGCACCCCCTGACTTAAACATCTTCATCTTTAAACACCTGTCTGAATAAAAAGGTTTTAGCCTGCTGCCATAAGGACAGCAAGAAAGGAGCCAAGGGAGTTCCAGAGTGAAGGAGCAGCCACCAAGGCGGCCCACTCTCTCATTCCCAGCAACCCAGCTTGAGACGGGAGGTGGGACTGAGAGAAGAGCCTCTCTCTCCTAAAGATCCCGAATGGCAAGTTCATACAACTTACCTGTCCCAACGCACCTCCCTCTATGAACCATCACGGAGGTTAAGATCTTCTGGGGAGGCCCTGCTTTTGGTCCCACTAGCTTCGCAGGTGCAACTGGTGGGGATGAGAGACAGGGCCTTCTCAGTGGTGGCCCCTTAGTTGTAGAACCTCCTCCCTAGTGGGAGTCAATGGGCCCCTTCCCTGCTGTCATTTCACAAACAAGTGAAAACTTGAGTTTGGGAGAAAGCATTTGGCCCAGCATAATTATCTGTGCAATACAGTTGGAATTTATTTATTTAACGACATTTATATCCCGCCCTTCTCACCTCGAAGGGGACTCAGAGTGGCTTACAAGATATATTTCTGTTATTTCCCCAAAACACAGACTGTGACACACAAATACAGTAACCAACTCGATTGCCATGATTTTGTGGGGCTTTTTTTTCTTTTTAAAAAATAAAACACATTAAAAATGTAAAAAAAAAATCTCTAAAATCAGGACAGTAAATAAAATGCAACACTCAGAAAACAGAGGAATTCCAGACAGGAAACAATCAGGGCCAGCTAACACCTCCCAACAAAGGATTCCCCAGGAAGGAAGCAGCCAGGCGTCAGAAGGGTCACCAAAGACCACCAGAAAACACAGTATTTTTAGTTGGTCATGGGGGTTCTGTGTGGGAGGTTTGCCCCAATTCCGTCGTCAGTGGGGTTCAGAATGCTCTTTGATTGTACGTGAACTATAAACCCCAGTAACTACAACTCCCAAATGTCAAGGTCTATTTCCCCCAAGCTCCATCAGTGTTCATATTTGGGCATATGGAATATTTGTGCCAAGTTTGGTCCAGATCCCACATTGTTTGAGTCCACAGTGCTCTCTGGATGGAGGCGAACTACAACTCCCAAACTCAAAGTCAATGCCCACCAAACCCTTATAGTATTTTCTGTTGGTCATGAGAGTCGTGTGTTCCAAGTTTGATTCAATTCCATCATTGGTGGAGTTCGAAATGCTCTGAATGTAAGTAAACTATAAATCCCAGCAACTACAACTCCCAAATGACAAAATCATATTTTTTGAGTGATGGTCACTCCTTGGGTTGTGAGACATGTTGTTGCCAAATTTGGTGTGATTTTGTTCATCGGGTTTTTTTTGTTTTTAAGGTTTTTTGTTTTGTTTTTAAGGTACTCATTATGCAGAGCATTTTTATATATATGTAAGAAGCTAAGATATATTGTATTCGCATAGTACAATATCAGTATTATAAATTGTATATGTGTGTGTGTGTATATATAATATATTGCACTATACCCATATATTGTAATATTATTAGTAATACTACATATAATGTAAATATATAATTAAATTATATTTTATTATTACTAGCATTAATTGTATTGCATTATAATATTATTAATATTATATGTATATACAATATATTATATTAGTAAAGACAACATACAATACAAATACAGTAAATAAATAATGTTAATTAATAATACTAATACATTAATTATAATACGTGCTCGCTCCATCCATGTTCAACATCTACACAAATAACCAGTCACTGCCAGAAGGGACAGAGAGTTTCATCTATGCTGATGATTGTGCCATCAACGCTCAAGCAGGGAGCTTGAGATGGTTGAACAGAAGCTCTCCGAAGCTCTAGGTCAGGGGTCCTCAAACTTTTTAAACAGAGGGCCAGGTCACAGTCTCTCAAACTGTTGGAGGGCCAGATTATAATTTGAAAAAAAAAATGAATGAATTCCTATGCACACTGCACATATGTTATTTGTAGTGCAAAAACACTTTAAAACAATACAATAATTAAAATGAAGAACAATTTTAACAAATATAAACTATTAGTATTTCAATGGGAAGTGTGGGCCTGCTTTTGGCTCATGAGATAGGATTGTTGTTGTTGTGTGCTTTCGTTTCAGACTTAGGTTGACCCTGAGTGAGGGCCGGGTAAATGACCTTGGAGGGCCGCATCCGGCCCCCGGGCCTTAGTTTGAGGACCGAAGCTCTAGGTGCTCTAACTGCCTATTACAGGGAAAACCAACTGATCCTTAATCCATCTAAAACACAGACATGTGCCTTTCACCTTAAGAACAGACAAGCATCCCAAGCTCTGAGGATCACCTGGGAAGGAATCCCACTGGAGCATTGCAGCGCACCCAAATACCTGGGAGTCACTCTGGACCATGCTCTGACCTACAAGAAGCACTGCCTGAACATCAAGCAAAATGTGGGTGCTAGAAACAATATCATACGAAAGCTGACTGGCACAACCTGGGGATCACAACCAGATACAGTGAAGACATCTGCCCTTGCGCTATGCTACTCTGCTGCTGAGTACGCATGGCCAGTGTGGAACACATCTCACCACGCTAAAACAGTGGATGTGGCTCTTAATGAGACATGCCGCATTATCATAGGCTGTCTGTGCCCTACACCACTGGAGAAATTACACTGCTTAGCCGGTATTGCACCACCTGACATCCGGCGGGAAGTAGCAGCCAATAGTGAAAGGACCAAGGCAGAGACATCTCCAGCTCATCCCCGTTTGGGTATCAGCCAGCACGTCAACGACTTAAATCAAGAAATAGTTTTCTTAGATCTACAGAGACACTCGCTGGAACACCTCAGCAAGTGAGAGTCCAAAAGTGGCAGGCTCAAACCCAGAACCTCAATCCATGGCTGATACCAAATGAGAGACTCCCCTCTGGGCACACAGAAAATGGCGCTGAACAGACTGCGCTCTGGTACCACCAGATGCAGAGCCAACCTTAAGAAATGGGGCTATAAAGTGGAATCCACGACATGCGAGTGTGGAGAAGAGCAAACTACAGACCACCTGCTGCAATGCACCCTGAGCCCTGCCACATGCACCATGGAAGACCTCCTTGCGACAACACCAGAGGCACTCCAAGGGGCCAGATACTGACCAAAGGACATTTAATCAGCTTTTGGCTCATGAGATAGGATTGTTTGCAAGTTTGCAAAATTTGTGTGTTTTTATCTGTTTGTTTTGTTCTGTCAGAAATGTAATACAATGTTCTGGTTGCGGATGACACGATAAATAAATAAATAAATAATACTACCGATGATACACAATAGTATTAATGATAATACTAGGTTCTTGTAGGTTTTTTTTCGGGCCTTCGACAATACAATGATAATACTGTTTTTATTATTGTATATTTTGTAATATAACCATAGTAACATATTAGTTATAACGCTACTGATAATATATAATAGCATATAATGATGTTATTGTTTTATTATTGTATATTTTAAGTTGTATTGTAATGTTTTTAATTGTGAGTCCCGGTATGGAGAGATAAAGAGGAATTGAAAGATAATTAAGTCCGAAAACAAAACAGCAATCCTGACATAGACGTTTGTGTGCCAAGCCACAATGACAACCACAATAAGGTGCTGAAATAGTAAGGCGAAAGCAATACAGGAACAGCCTGAGCCCCAAGCCACACAAGGTAGGCCTCACGCCCTCACTACGACTAAACTAGGCCTCAAAGCCCTCCCGCGGCCTACTCCGATCTCTCTCTTCGCAAACCCCGAATGCTCTCGCTCACCAGTGGCCCGAGGCCGGAAAGGGACGATAAATAACCGGCGACGACGTGAGGAAATCCAGAAAGGCTTCCCCGGGCCCAGGCCTCCGTTTCCTCTCCTGCCGACAAAATGGCGGCGCCCTCCTTCCTCTCCGAAGCGTCAAGATGAAGCGACGGGCTCGGAATGAACCACACTCCGCTCGAGTAGGGGGTGATTTTTCCAAAGCGTGGGAAACCCGTTAGCCCTGAGGAAGAATAATCCTCTTTAAGCACTGAGGAGTAATACAGAAAATATATTGTAACTTCCAAACATTTTTCGAGGCGTGTCTCGCCTGGAAAGAGCTACCCATTCGGAACACTCCCCCCCCTTTCTATGGTTTGACGGTGGTACGGTCCAAAAGGGCGGTCTAACGCGCAGGCGCAGAAGGGAGGATGAGCTCAGAAGGAGGTAGAGTCCCCGAGCGAACGCTGGCTGGAGAGGTTCGGCGGAGGGTGCGCATGCGCAATGGGGGCCAAAGTTGCGCTGAGGAGAAAAGAGCGGGAAAAGCTGTTGCTCTGGGAGGCGAAGTCGGGCTCGCGCGCATGCGCAGTGTTAGGAATGGCTCCCTGAGGTAATTTTGTAACACCTGAATGGAGTTGTAGCAAGACTTCTGACAAAGTACATACAATAATAATAATAATAGCTTCTGCAATAAGCTTTCTGGAATGGAATTAATTTAATTTCAACGAAAATGACTTATATTTTGCACTTTAAGGCTCATATACTAATATATGAGGTCACGAAGAGTCGGAGACGACTGAACGAATGAACAACAAAACTAATATATTATGGTATTAATATATTATTACCACAGCACATCAGTAATATATTAATTGTTGACGGGAAGCTTCCCACCGGAGTGGAAATCATCTATCGGACAGATGGCAAGCTGTTTAACCGCAGCAGACTGAAAGCCAAAACCAAAGTTACAACAACATCTGTTATAGAACTCAAGTATGCTGATGACAACGTCGTCTGTGCACATTCAGAAGAAGATCTACAAGCCACTCTAAACACCTTCGCAGAAGCATACGAGCAGCTCGGCCTGTCATTGAACATCGAGAAAACCAAAGTGCTGTTCCAACAGTCACCAGCCATCCCCTCCCCAATGCCAGAGATACAGCTTAATGGGGTAACATTAGAAAATGTTGACCATTTCCGCTCCCTTGGCAGCCACCTCTCCACCAAAGTCAACATCGACACCGAAATACAACATCGCCTGAGCTCTGCAAGTGCAGCATTTTTCCGAATGAAGCAGAGAGTGTTTGAGGACCGGGACATCCGTAGGGAGACCAAGGTGCTTGTCCATAAAGCTATTTTCCTCCCAACCCTGCTATATGCTTGCGAGACGTGGACTGTCTACATATGTCACATGCAACTCCTGGAACGATTGCATCAGCGCTGCCTCCGGAAAATCCTGCAAATCTCTCGTGAAGACAGGCGGACAAACGTCAGCGTACTGGAAGAAGCAAAGACCACCAGCACTGAAGCGATGGTCCTCCAACATCAACTCTGCTGGACCGGCCACATTGTTTGGATGCCTGACCACCGTCTCCCAAAGCAGTTGCTCTACTCTGAACTTAAGAACGGAAAACGGAATGTTGGTGGGCAGGAAAAGAGATTGAAAGATGGCTTCAAAGCCAACCTTAAAAACTCTGGCATAGACACTGAGAACTGGGAAGCCCTGGCCCTTGAGCGCTCCAGTTGGAGGTCAGCTGTGACCAGCAGTGCTGCAGAATTCGAGGAGGCACGAGTGGAGGGCGAAAGAGAGAAACGTGCCAGGAGGAAGGCGCATCAAGCCAACCCCGACCGGTACTGCCTTCCACCTGGAAACCAATGCCTTCACTGTGGGAGAAGATGCGGGTCAAGAATAGGGCTCCACAGCCACCTACAAACCCACAAGGAAACCCATCATGGAAGACCATCTTACTCGTCCAACAAGGGATCGCCTAAGTAAGTAAGTAATATATTACTGATGTGCTGTGGTAATAATATAATATATTGTATAGACATATAATATTGATAATAAAATTATAATGTAATACAATATAATACTACTAATAATGAAATATAATAATTAAATTTTTAAATTACATGTAATATTAGTAATAATAATAATACAGATAGTGGTGTAGTACAATATTGTGTTGTAATAATATAATGTATACATATATAATATTGATAATAAAATTATAATATAATACATAATATTAATAATGAAATATAATAAATATATATTTAAAATATAAGTAATAATAATAATATAGATAGTGGTATAGTACAATATTGTGTTGTAATAATATATTATATTGTATACACATATGATATTGATAATAAAATAATAATGTAATAAAATTATACTGTAAGACAATATACTACTAATAATGAAATATAATAATTATATTTTTAATATTACATGTAATATTAGTAATAATAATAATAATAATAATAGTATAGATAGTGGTATAGTACAATATTGTGTTGTAATAATATATTATATTGTATACACATATAATACTGATAATATCATAATGTAATACAATATACTACTACTAATAAAATATAATAATTATATATTTCATACTACATGTAATATTAGTAATAGTAATAATACAGATAGTGGTATAGTACAATATTGTGTTGTAATAATATAATATATTGTATACACATATAATATTGATAATAATATTATAATGTAATACGATATAATACTACTAATAATGAAATATAATAATTATATTTTTTAAATGATCTTTATTGATTCTTTTTCGGTTATCCAGTGAAAGAGTGGGAACACGCCTAGGGATAGAAACGGTGGGAAAGGAAGAGATAGCGTGTAGTGCCGGATGGAGGGTGGGTGGGGATCTAGGAAGGAAGGGGTAATAAATAATAATAAATTATAATATAAATATTATTATAAATATAATATTATTATAAAATTATAATATTATACAATATAATACTAATAATATAATATAATAATTATATATTTCATATTACATGTAATTTTACTAATAATATACTAGTAGACTGGTGTAGTACAGTATGGGAATATATGTTACTAATATTGTGCTATGCTAATAATATAATATATTGTATACACATGTAATTTATTATTTATTTATTTATTTACTGCATTTATTGACCGCCGCTCTCAGCCCTAGGGCGACTCGCGGCGGTGCACAACATATAAAAACAGTTTACAAAAGGGCAAAACAGGAAATCAATACAACAATAATACACTATAATCTAGTTACACTAAATAATCCGCTCCGTCACATCATAGAATCATAACCAATATCGTAATCCGTATTCCGTTCCAGTTGTCAATTACCAGTTGCCGTAGCGCTCAGTTGAATGCCTTCTCAAATAGCCAGGTCTTCAGGCTCTTACGGAAGGACAGAAGGGAGGGCGCCTGTCTGATGTCAGCAGGGAGGTCGTTCCACAACCGGGGAATATTGATAATAATATAACGTAATACAATATAATACTACTAATAATAAAATATAATATTTTATATTACATGTAATGTTACTAATAATATTGTGGTATAATGATATAGTACAATATAGTAATATATAATACTGATATTGTGCTATGCTAATAATATAATATATTGTGTGTGTATGTGTATATATATATGTATATATATATATATCTTGTAAGTTGCTCTGAGTCCCCTTCGGGGTGAGAAGGGRGACATATAAATGTCGTAAAGAAAGAAAGGAATAATGGAATTGAGAAGGAAGGAGGAAAAGAAAGAGGAGGGAAGGAAGAGAAAGGAAAGGAGGAGGAAGAGAGGGAAAAGAAAGGAAAAAGAAGGGAAAGAATGGAAAGGGGGGAGGAAGGAAGGAGGAAAGGAAAGAGGAGGGGAGGAAGGATGAGAAAGATAAAAGAAGGGAATGGAAATGAGAAGGAAGGAAGGAGGAAAAAGGAAAGGAGGAGGAAGGGAGGGAAGAGAAAGGAAAAATAAGGGAAAGAGTGAAAAGGGAGGAAGAAGGAAGAAAGAAATAGGGAGGAAAGGAAAGGAAAGGAAAGGAGGAGGGAGGGAAGAGAAAGGAAAAAGAAGGGGAAGGATGGAAAGGTAGAAGGAAGGAAGGAGGAAAAGAAATAGGAGAGAAGAGAAAGGAAATGAAGAGGAAGGGCGGGAAGAGAAAGGAAAAATAAGGGAAAAAATGAAAAGGGAGGAGGAAGGAAGAAAAGAAAGAAATAGGGAAGAAAGGAAAAAGGAAAGGAGGAGGAAGGGAGGGAAGAGAAAGGAAAAAGAAGGGAAAGAATGTAATGGAGAAGGAAGGAAGGAGGGAAAGAAAGGAAGAGAAAGGTAAAAGAAGGGAAAGAATGGAAAGGGAGGAGGAAGGAAGGGGGAAAGGAAGGGGAGAAAGGAAGAGAAAGGAAAGGGGAAGGAAGGGAGGGGAGAGAAAGGAAAAATAAGGGAAAGAATGGAAGGGAGAAAGAAGGAAGGAGGAAAAGAAAGAAAGAGGAAGGAAGAAAGGAAGATAAAGAAAAGGGAAGGAAGGGAAGAGAGGAAAAAGAAGGGAAAGAATGGAAGTGAGAAGGAAGGAGGGAAGGAAGGAAGGAGGAAAGAAAGAGAAGAATGGAGAAAGGAAGGAGGTAGGAAGGGAGGGAAGACAAAAAAGAAAGGAAAGAATGAAAAGGAGAAGAAAGGAGGAAATAGATTGGAGGGAAATAAAAGAAATAAAAGATTGGAATAAGGAAAGAAAGAGAAGGGAAGAGGAATGAAAGGGAAGAAAAAAGGGGGAATTTTGTTATGCGCATTCGTTGAGATTGCTGTTATAATTTTATGTTATTGTTTTTATGCTTACGTATTGGTTATTTTATGTGCGACCCTGGAGTTTTTTGTGAGCTGCCCCAAGTTCCTTCAGTGAGATGGTGGCGGGGTATAAATAACATTATTATTATTACTATTATTATTATTATTATTGTTATTATTATTATTATTATTATTATTATTATCTTAGACGATCCCTTGTCTGAATATAATGGCCTTCTTAGTGTAATGTCTTGGCGGTGGATACGTAGGTGACCATGGAGCCCTATTCTTAATCTGCACATTCTTCCACAGTGCGGACATCGGTTTCCTGGTGGAAGGTGGTCCCTTTCAGGGTTGGCTT